GGGGGGTCAGCAAGAAAAGAACAATAGAAATTCTTGAAAATCCATTGTTCATTTCTGAAAAATGACGGTTAATTTCGGACGTCATAAGTGAACGACCCCTTTCGCTAACTGTTTTGGGGCGATTTACAAATGACGTCCAGCAAAAATGATCTTTTTTGACCTCTCATCGACTCTGTCAAAATTTTGATGAGTAATTGCAAAAAGTCTTCTTAAAGGTTGTACATCATTTTGAATGACTCCGTGAGCAGAGGGCGAATTCTACTGAGATGTAGGTTAGATTAGTCTACTAAAATCAACTCTGAATCAAAAAATCTGCCCTTCAGTATTTCAATAACAATACTGAAACAGACCCCTACTAAGCAGTTGACCCCCTTTCCATTGACTGAACCATTCCGTAACATACAAACGTCCCATATATCATATGTACGACTTAAATGTTCGTTTAATGACCAGGAAACGTTTACGAAATCTTCTTATCATTTTTTTCTGCCTCTCTTGCTCCATAAATCGCATCCTGCAGTGCAAGCAAATAAAATACTCTTTATTTCTCTCTGTGGCTGTTTTATATATTTATTTGGTATATGAACTAAATAATAATAAGAATGTTCTTGTGAGTGGCGATAGTGGAAGTGAATGGAAGGAATGGTACGATATAAATCCTTAAATATCTTTAACGAAAAGTTCACTGTAAACTTCAAAAATCAGAATAATGAAATATCGTGTAGAGATTTGGGTTCGGGTGATGTGGATATGGAGCATTTTAGGGAATATTTAACTTTAGACTTTTAATGTTAATAATTAAACATTTTTGGGGGCTGTTAAATTTGAAAAAAATTGAATCCACACTAATACTATCAAACATTTTCCATTAAATTTGTTTGTTAAAAATTGCCTTAATTACAACTTAGTCGTTGTTTGGAATATGCTTAAAAGCTTGATCAAGCTTTAATCATTATGATTTAGTTTTGTGTATCCAGTTTAGGCAGTCAAATAATTGATAAAATGTGAATTTTCCAAGAAAAAATATATTTTTATGGCGTGCGTTCAGAAATCCAAGTTTCGAAATTTAACGATATAAGCAGGAGGGGGGACAGAGCAAAAATTTCCATAAAAAAAAAACCCAAAAATGTTTACTCTGATGAAATTTCCAAGTACTCCACAAACGAAATTGAAAAAGTCAAATTTAAAGGAACTGAAGCATCGAAGTAAAATTTTTTGGATGTCAAAAGGTCTTAAATCATGATTCTCATCAGCTGCAATCAAAATTTCGGTCCTAAACTGCATCGGAAGGAAGTATTGCGAAAATTTCATTTTTCGACAATTTTTTTTCCAATACAAAGTGGAGTCCTTGGAAATTTCATCAGAGTAAACATTTTTGGGTTTTTTTTTATGGAAATTTTTGCTCTGTCCCCCCCCCCCCCCCTGGATATAAGGTCCTTTTTGATTTCTGAACACACCATTGTCACCACTGGCTTAAATATTATCAATAGTTAAAACATGGAAATCAGCTATGGCATCCATTGGTCATATTGGGGGTCAGTCCATAGCTTTAAGAAATATTTAAACCCGATCAAAAATTACCATTTTTAACTAAGCCAGACTATCAGACAAACCAACAACAAATACATCCATTATCATCGTCAAAAACTGCATACAAAATCACAACCAAAGATATTGTGCAGCTACGGGTACTAAGAAGTAAACGGTTCAAAGCGAATGAGAGGTTTAAAACCAATAAATTTTCATTGCAGTGAAATGAGCAAGCGTGGCAATATAATGATACATTGTTTCAATAATAAATAATAATTGTTTTACCCTCTCACTCTTTCCCTTCTCTCTTCCTTCTCCTTTGTATTGTGCTTTTTTTTATCCTTCTTCTTGTTAAATCGTCTTATTTTTTAAACTGTTCTGTATTCTACAACAATTGTATCAAAGAATTCTTTTTGATGATGATGAAATATTGTATTGAGTGGAAAGGAGCGAAAATAACTATAAGAAGATTGCAAGTTAAGAAGTAGAATTAATTTGAAGCTTTTGGAAATGAAACTGGTGTTTTTTCTTTATGATATGACTTAATTTGATAGTGCGGTTGTGATTTTGTTGGGTTTTTGGGTTCAATTTGAGATGAACTTGTTTGAATTGAACCAAAATGAGTTGGATTGAACCAAATTGTGTCAAACAGAGATAAATTGAAACAATCTGAATTAAGTTAAGCAGAATCTAATCAAACTAAGCTAAACATTTCTGAAATATGGTTTTCTCAATTGAATTCTAATTTAAGCAAAATCATCACTTAGCAATCAATCTCCTCAAAATCTAATTCTCAAAACAACTTAAAAGGATTTTCCATCACAATCAACCACATCCAGCAATATTCAATATCCCGAAAATAAATACAATCAGGTTGAAAAACACCTTTCAGAAACCAAATAAAATTTCGGAAATCCCGACAATTCTTTTCATAGTATTTTACGAGAAGATATTAAATTCAGCAACGTGACACGATTATGAGTCTACCAAATGTCGAATAAAAGTCAATTATGAAAGCCTAGAAAATATTACCCAAATATGATTACACCTGCCATAAAAAAATTCTTAGTTGTATTGTAAATGACAAAAGGTGATTTTTTGTCAATATTTTCATGAGATTCTAAGAAGCTTTTATGTCTGTTATTGTTTCACATTAACCAAGAAAGCCACAAAACGATTTTTTAAAGTGCATCAGTCAGAAATAGTCGAGTGAAATTCAATACAATTACTATATTTAAATAACAGTTGAATGGAAATGATAGTTGTACTTAAAGAATGAATCGTAAAAAATGTTGAAAGGGGGTTTGCATGTGTTGATAAAGATGTTATTTTAGGTTACTTTTGTAAAGAAAAGGAATTGACTTGATGAAAAATTTAACGGATTTCAAAAATTTGAATGATAAAGGTTATTAAAAATTTAAATTTCAATGGTCTTCAAAAATTTGAATTTCAATGGTCTTCAAAATTTTGAAATTTAATAGTCTAAAATTCTGGATTTTAGCGGGTTTTGTAACAGTCTTCAAAATTTTGGATTTTACCGGGTTTCAAAATTTTGAATTTTATTGGTCTTCAAAATTTTGAATTTTAATGGTCTTCAAAATTTTGAAATTTTGGATTTTACCGGGTTTCAAAATTTTGAATTTTAGCAGTCTTCAAAATTTTGAATTTTAATGGTCTTCAAAATTTAGAATTTTAATGCTCTAGAAAATTTTGAATTTAAACGGTTTTCAAAATTTCAGATTTTATAGGTTTTCTAATATTTGATTTTCAACGGTTTTCAAAATTTTGAATTTTAACGGTCTTCAAAATTTTAAATTTAAACGGTTTTCAAAATTTCAGATTATAACGGTTTTCTAATATTTGATTTTCAACGGTTCTCAAAATTTTGAATTTTAACGGTCTTCAAAATTTTGAATTTGAATGATTTTTCAAAATTTCAGATTTTAATGGTTTTCTAATATTTGATTTTCAACGGTTTTCAAAATTTTGAATTTTAACGGTCTTCAAAATTTCAAAATTTTGAATTTTAACGGTCTTCAAAATTTTGAATTTTAATGGGTTTCATAATTTTAACGGCCTAAAAAATTTTGAATTTAACCAGTCTTTAAACTTTACGGTTTTAAATTTCAACACTTAATCAACACATTTATAAACTTTAAATCCATCATTTCAACAATCCATTAATCCCCCTTCAACAAACTTAAACCGCGGTTTTAACAGCCATGTGTATAAGTAGACATAAATCACTATTGTATTATTATAGACACCATTGAGTATTCTTAACGTATACCAATTGACTGGTCACTATATAAAATTTTCAATAATTTGCTCATAATGTAGTATATTTTACAAAATTCTTAATACACTTATCGTGATCACGATTTTCGTATTAGGCGAAATAAAAATCATTTCTACGGTATAATTTTTTCCTCTCTTTTTTTGTTTCGATCTGAAAAACATTATTATTGTTATTATAAAGGTACCGTGAGTTGTCTTACTCTTGGGGTGAAGTTAGGGAATCAAGATTGTCTTTTAAAAATTGAAAAAACTTCTTAAAGGGTTCTGGACCTCCTTAATACCTCCTGTATCACTCTTAGTCCCATAAATCTAAATGCGCTAGTCTTAAGCTAGCTTCACTAACATTTCACTGTTCCACACTGAAGCCATATACACTGATTGCTTTTTTTTTCTGCAAAGCTTCATTCGCTTTTTTTTTTTGCTATTGTTCAACCGAGAAAAAAAATGTTCGAAATAATAAATGAAAATTTATTGCAAATTAAACTATAATGATTTGTTAGATATATTTCGCTATACACCAATCAGACAATAATTTTTATATTGTATTGAATATACATCGTATTCTTCTTTTTTTAAACATCAATAATAGTGAATGGCTGCTCGAAAAAATGCAGCTAACTATGATAAACAACTATGAAAAGCTACGATATGATTGAGAACTAGAGAATGCACAATGAGAAAATAAAAAAAGTTCTTCTTTCTATGATTCGTAGAGTTCAATTGATTATGTGTCATAAATCTCGTGTCTTGATTGAGAAATTGAATTAAATCTATCGTGTGAGCTTACAATAAAAAGTATTGGTTTTATAACGTATTCATGAATTTTAAATATTACCTTTTTTTTGGATTTTGAATTCAAACGATTTTTTTTTTGGATTTTTGATTATTTTATCATCTCGGAAATCTGAACCATAAACGATTAATTTGCTTTAAACTACACCAATCACTTCCAAAAGAAGACAGTCGATAGAGGAATGTGATTTATAGTCTAGAAGCAATATGGTAATTGCAAATGTGCTCAAAAATTCCAAAGCTATAACTGCCAGAAAAAATTCAAAAAAAATTTCCATCACCTCAGTAAACTTTAATTCTTCAAAACAAAACAAAGTTTAATTGACATTATTCGTGATTTAAGTGTATTTTGACAATATTACTGGACGAGAAACTCATGATTAACAATCATCAGAGGTGTTAAGCATAAAGGATCATAAAAATAACAACTGTAAGGTATGTAAAATATAAAAAAATTATATTATGGCTTGCGATGAGGATTTTACGATTAATTATGAATTATTAATGGCTAAATCAGCATAAGTTTAATAATTCAATGCTAACAAGAGCACAAAAACATGTCGAGAATGTTAAATTCATAAAATGCTAAGATCCAGTGAGTTTTCAAAAAACAAGATCCAGAATTGAATAAAAAAATAATACTTGAAAGTCATCATTTCTTTTTATTACACGCTTTTATTTAACTCACACTGTTTGTATGTTTCACGCGTCAAATTTTGTAATCGTTATTTCGATCACTTCTACTACTCCAATCGAGCTCAAATTTTTTATGCACACTTATTCTCGGTGACAATTCAATATTTTAACACTTTAAAACCACAAAAATGCTTAATTATAGTACAATTTAAGTAAAACTTTTTTATATCATTTTTTTGAAATATGAAAAAAAAAAAAATATGGGAAAAAATCCAATTTCAATGATATATAATTTAAATTTGTTTAAAATATTATACTTGAAATGCTCAAAAGTCATTTACATGATTCATTATAGTTTTATTAATATTATTAATTATTAATTATACTATAAATTTGAACAGCTAAAGATATTCTGGTAGAACAAAAAACAAAATTGACAAGTAATTTTTTCATGAATATTCGTAAGTGAAAAGTTGAATTTCAAAAAAACCGTTAAGTGCAAGTCAGTAACGTTATAATACAAAATAACTATTGATTGCAAGTCAAATATGCATTTAGCACATATTTTTATTAACGGCTTGACGCAAGCTTGACGTATTTTTTCATAACATATAAATGACATTCATTGAAATTAAATTTGAAAAATCCGTTATAAATGCGTTAGTATTTAGTAGGAATGGTACGAATTAACACAAAATCTTTAAGATTGATTTTTAATGTACTTTACTAATTGATGTTCAGGACACTTTTAAGAGTTTAATGTGTTTCCAAGTTTGAATTAAATTATATAAAACGAATGAAAAATTTTGATAGTCTTTACTAATTACCCATTAAAAACTGGTAATCAATAAATAGTTGAACGAAACGGAGTGTAACGAAGTGAAGTTTAGAATTTTGGAAGTTGAATCGATTTGGAGATTTTATAAGACTAAAAAGTAGAAAATAAAATACTTTAAAAAAAACTTTTTTTAAAAAAAGCACGCTTTTATTTCCGATTACAGAGCACTAAAAAGGAGAAAATAATTTTTTTTTGCTAAGATCTCAAATTTGATACAAATTTTTATGACTCAAAATAAAAGCGTGGGGCGTTCTTATAAATATCACTAAATCTTGAATTTGTATGTTTACATAAGCGTTAGGTCTTCAATGTTTATAGGTTTTTCTAAGGAGAATGATGAGCCCTTACAAATTATGGTAAATCTGAGACGGTAGACTTGATCTCCATGAGACTAATGTAGAGTTTTCTGTGTGGCACTAGAAATCAAGTCTTACTCTCCTGCTAAATCTAACTAGTTCCTTTGTGTCAAAAAATAATTTGAGATCAAAGGGGCCATTCACTTATTACGTAACGCTTTTAGGGGGAGGGGGGGGTCTAAGATTTTGTTACGGTTCAAACAAGGAAATTTTTTTTTCATACAAATTTTGTTACGAAGGGGGGGTCTAAGAAGTCTTTTTTTCGCGTTACGTAATAAGTGAACAGCCCCAAAACTTTAAAAGGTCTTTCGTTTTAATACAAAAGTTGAATTAAGAAATGAATTATTAAACTGAATTAAAATAAATTTTGGAAAATCTAGAGCTAGTTTAAATTTAACGCCCCACGCTTTTATTTTGAGTCATAAAATTTTGTATCAAATTTGAGATCTTAGCAAAAAAATTATTTTCTTCTTTTTAGTGCTCTGTAATCGGAAATAAAAGCGTGCTTTTTTTAAAAAAAGTTTTTTTTTTAAAGTATTTTTTAAATGTAAATTTCATCACAATAACATTATTGAAAGGCAAAAATCCATTCATCGTAGTCAACAAACAGCGCTTGATATCGATTTTATTATGTATTCCTTTTTATACGAAAAAAATAACATGATTGTTATTAAAAAGGCTGAATATATTCATTTTTTATTTAATTATTATTATAAGAAGACAATAGAATTTGTGGGTGTGCATATACTAGCTATGTTCTCGAGTGAACACCATATCTAATTGAATTTCAAACCACAGAATTTTTACCTGTCGTACATTTTCGCAGATTGAAGTTAAGATATTGGGCAATTCCACGAGTAAAAGGAACTGAGAAAAAGCAAGTTGTAATATTTTTCTACTTGTAGCAATTTGATTTTTTTTTACCGTTACAAATTTTCAAAAGATTCAAACAAATTTTCATTGCCTTAATTATTATTACACAAAATTATGATGTTAACATGAAAAAAAAACAAATTAAATTCATTATTAACCCAATAAAATGTTATTTTTCGAAGAGAAAATATTCTTAGCAATAAATAAATTTAACGGAAATTCAAAATTCAAATTTTCTGTTTTTTGTTGGTTTTGGATAAAGCGCTGAAAACTTAATTGATTAACGCAGTATTTTTTAATTTTCTCTGTGAATAAAGCATTTAAGAACAGAAAAAGTGTACAAATAAGTAGAAAAAGTGAATATTTATGGCTTAAAAATATACTTTAGCACAAAAAATGGTTATTTGAAGACTTTTTTAAGGATATAAGAAGCTAAATTTTCGTAAACTTGACCGATTAACGATGAAAAAACTGAATTATTTCAGTAAATAGACCTTTAAACGTTTAGTTATCTATTTTAAAATGAATATCTTGAGTTATTATTAATTATAAATTTTTAAAAGAACGGAATAAGGTGTTATTTTTAGAGTATTTTGATAAAAAAGAATTTTAATTGCATTTTTTCACTCATGGAATTGCCTTACTGAGGAATTTATCATTAATTTAAGTCAGTTGGATGGTAGAAGTGTTGAGTCTTGTGGGGTTTTTGGGTAGATATTTGCTCGACAGCTGTTATTTGTAGATTTGGCTTTTATAAGTCACATATTTCATTTGTTTAGTTGACTGTCCAGATCATCTGTAGCTTCTCTTTGTTGAGAATCTATCAACTGTCGTTTAATACTTAAATTGTATTTGCAACCATAATTAGTTGTTTTCCCTTTATATAGTTATTAGCCCCTTCATCATTACATTACAATAGAAGCGGTCTAATTTAATTAAGTAATAAATAAGCATTGTGATAATCCTGTTAACATTTTTAAATGTAGCATGCTTTATTTCTAGCTATTGCATTCCAATTATCAATTTTTATTGCCATACTGTCTATTAGCTGCAATATAAGTGTTCAAAGTACGAGTACTTAAGAATTAAACCCGAATTTTGATGGCTGTAAGTTCATAAACTGTCATTTTCATTCCATCACTTTCATTAATTGCCAAACAAGCTAGAAATCACGTCACAAATCATTGCAAATACTGAGTAGCAAAACTAAATGCATTTAAATCAACTTTTGCAAGACATGAGTCAAGCTTTCAAAATCAAGTTGATCTCGTTGGTTACACACACTTTGGCGTGAATAAAAAAAAACATTCAGATCGATTAATTTCAAAACAAATTTAAACTCGTTTAGGAGATAAGATTACTCCACTTAGTCTACGTTATGGATTGTGTTAAGTTCAAGGCTTTCTTCAAGGGAATTATTTTGCCAAAATAACGAAATTTGATTACGAAATGTCATTTGAAGTTGATGAAATCTTGATGAATTCATGTTCGAAAGACTTATCGAAAGTCTAGGAGAGTTATAATATATACGTTTGAAAAGTTTAAATTTGAAATAAACCGTTACAATTTTAGTGATTTTATTAGCTTTTGATCGTTTGAAAAAAAAGCTATATCAATAAATGTTTATCATTAAATGAAGTTTTTATTTTTTGTAATTTTCGAAAATTTCGAACTGCAGGGTATGAAACTTCGAATTTTGTATAGCAGACAGACAAATAAGACATTTTAACAAGTTTTCTTGAAAAATTTAACGGTCGAAACTCTTGAATTGTTCGTATCAGATCTTTAGGTTGTCAATTTGATGTTGTAGATGTTCTTATGGACTAAGTTGTAGAGTCATTTGGTTGAAGAACTAGTTTAAATAGCTAGAAGTTTCAAATGTTAGACATTGTTGTCATTCTGTATCAATCTTCTATTGATCGCAGTGCTTACAGGCTGATTTCTTCGGATATTGAGACTTTTAAAATGTTATTTATTGACGCCAACTTAGCGTTGCGATCTAGACTACATTAACTATTGAATTATCAAACAATCAATTTTACATTATTACTAAGTAAATAAGAAGCAGCACTGGTGTAGTAATTAAAGTTTTATCAAACCAATTTCAATGACCATACTTCGATCTCACGTAATGTCTAGTCGGATAAGGTGCTTTTTTGTTGTTCTAGTCATGGTAACTCGGTTATGAATGATTTAAACCTGATACGAACAATTCAAGAGTTTCGACCGTTACAGTTTCCAAGAACACTTGTAAAAATGTCTTATTTGTCTGTCTGCCATGCAAAATTCAAAGTTTCTTACCCTGCAGTTCGAAATTTTCGAAAATTAGGAAATATTAAAAACTTAAATTAAGCAATTTTTTCATGAATTTTAGATGAAAATATTATTTGATAATTTGATAATAAGCATAATATAGCTAAATTTGTTTTCAAAACTATCAAAAACTTGAATAAAATGACCAAAAATTGTAACAGTTTTTCAAATTTAAATTTTTCGAACGTACATATTAAAACACCCCTAGACTTTCGATAAGTCTGTCGAACATGAATTGAACGTATCAGATTTAAACATCCACACAAAATGTGTCTAGGTACATTGTGTAGAGAGAGTAGCGAAGCTTTGGAAGTGAAGCGGAGCTTTAGGGGGCCTCATATCAAGTCAATAAACACAAGACGTACATGTTGAATAAATTAAATAAATAATAAGTTTTCGATAGTATTAAGAAGTAAATTGTGTTTAAATATATTGTTTAAGTGTGCTACAATAAGCGTTAATTCAATTAAGGATAAAAAACCGCAAGTTAAACTATAAATAGTGACGTTTCCATAAATTGTGTCAGTAACCTAAATTGTGACTTTATATTTTCGACTTTGTCTATCGATTGTGACATCATTTACCGATTTTGACTCTCGATTGTGACTTAACTTGCGTCACAGATCTACTATCCTCAAAAGAAGAGGAAAATCTGTGCTATTTACTGTTAGATCTGATTATTCGGATATTTTCTATATCTTGGGATCCAGACGAGATCCTGTGAAGCGATTCCATATTATTTTTCATCTTTTCGGCTGTTTGGGTAACAAAGTATATTATTTTTATATATTTATCTTTTTTGTCCGCTACAATTGCATTGATATACACTGGATTGTGGAGAGTTGCAACTTTTTAATCTGTCTGTTTTCAAAGACAGTATTATTCTTATCATTTTGGATGTAATCGCATCCTTCCTCCCATTCCTTCACCCATCCCTGTCATTTAACAATAATAACCGAAGAAAATTCCACTGACAAATCGCACCAATACAACGATATCCAAAAATAAGATTATAGAGTAGTGAAATTAGGAAGGAATTTGACAATAAGCGTCAATTATTTATCAGCGATTAAAGCTAGAAACTAGGGACAATTCACATGAAACACGAGACATATTGGGACGACGATAAAAAGAAAAGAAAAGAATGTAAGTCAGTGAAAAAAAAAAGTTGTAGTTTTTTTTCTTTCTTTCATTTCCTTTCCTTTACGCCATCGAACTTGCTCGCTTTCTTCCCTCGTCGTTGTCGTCGTTGTCGTCGTCGCATTTGTAACCTTCAAGCGTTTTCCATTGAGTAAAAGAAATTTGCTCGAATGAATCGCATACCCACCCCGACTCGAGATATTGAGAAAGGAGAATTTTTCAAAGTCATGTTCGGGAAAACGTGCAAAATGGCAATTTTTCTTGCTGCTTGCTTGTTGTTGCTGCTTTATTACGAGAGAACTTTTTTTTTCCGTACACAGAAAAATATATATTTATTGTACATAAGAGTTGAGTCGATGCACAAATACATGCACACGACAAAAAAAAAGTTTATATGACATAATCATACAATCTCTCTTTCACTCATGTATTTATGCTTCTTCTCCAGAAATTTCACAATTTTTCACTAAACATGCATAAAAGTCGAGGAAGAAGGAAACTTGTAGTGATTGTGGTTGTGTGTGGGGCTGATGGAAGCGCTTTTTTTGGCTACTTCAAATGTTCAGTCGATAATAGATAATAACGGTCAAAAAATATTTGAAAATAACGGTTTTAAAATTTTTAAATTGAGTTAACCGATTGAAGATTAATTTTCAGATAATTTTAATTTTTTCAGATCGGTTCAGATAATTTTAATTTTTTTCTATCGTGATTTTTCAAAAAAAATTTGGCAGTTATGATTTATTATTCATAAAAGATTTAAATTATTAAACTACATCATTCTGATTTGGGGCCGTTCACTTTTGACGTCGGGGGGGAAGGGGGGTCAGCAAGAAAAGAACCATAGAATTTCATGGAAATCCATTGTTCTCTTTTGAAAAATGACCGTTATTTTCGGACGTCATAAGTGAACGATCCCTTTAAACAATTAATCTTTTGTTTCTGTTAGTGACATATTTGAATAATACAGTATTACTTTAACTCGACTAAATTAATTCATACAACTGAACCGCATCGATAAAGCTTGTTAGATTGACAAAGTGAACAGAAAAAAGTCAAGGAAACACGCTAAAATATATGAAAATAAAAAATGTCATTATGGCGGGGATGGGAAATTTTTATGAGTGGTAATAATTTTTTCTCCAAGTCACTTTTTTATGCACCAGACATTTTATGGCCGATTTTTGTGGTTTCTTTATTTTTGTTATTGTAAAAAACCTTTTTTTACCTTTTCAATTGAATTTTCCTCATTAATTGATTGAGTTTTTAATTTGTGCGTTAAATATTTTAACATTTTTTATTACAAATCCTAAAAAACTAATTCACTTGTTTTATCTCCACGGGCTGCTTATTTTATCGATAAAGACTTTTTTTTTAAAAAATAACAAAAAAATTAAATGTCAAAAAGCAAAATTTTTTGCACAGACAAAAAAAAAGAATAACAAAAAAATATTCAAGTTTTCAATTGAAATTCACACTTGGAATTTTGTTGAGCCGCTCCAACATTTTTTTTTTCCTTTAATGTCTCAATTATTGATTTTTCTCAAGTACTCAGATTTTTTTTTCACTTCTTTTTTTCTTCACCACACAAATTATCACACAACAAAATATAAAAAATTTTAATTTGATTTTTTTCACTCTTGCAAATTCGCAGTAAAGTAAAAGTTTTAAGAATAATTTGAATAAAGTTGCCTAGAAGTTCATTAATCAACTTTTTCCGGCTCTCTCTCTTTCTCTCTCGCTCATTTATTGAACAACTTTTTTTTTATTTCAATTACACAATTTGAAATTTGCACAATTTTTAACCTTTTTTTTCCTGTTCCTTAATTTTTTTTTCACAATTCTCTCAATTTTTTGTAATATTAATTTAAATTTGGTGTCTACAAAATTTTATTTTTTCAATTCCCAACCGTGTAGCCGAGCTGTACTCACTTCTGAACTATTTTCCACCAGTTCTTCGAGTCAAATAAAAAAAAAAAATAGTTGCTCATGATTCTCGCACGAATATATAAAAAAAAAAAATAAATGCAAAAGAAACACACAAAATAATGAAAAATATCGTCCATCCAGATGATGAATACAGACACAATTCTCTCACCGAAACTGAAAACTCGATGTGTATGCGGTAGATACTCTCGCTTGTTCTCAATTTTATAGAAACAGAGAAGTTGTTTTCTTTCCCTTTTTATTTTTTGCTGTGCTGTGCTGCTCCGTGTGTTTCTACTTTATTATATCATACTTTTATGTGACAATATTGGTGACTACGATACGTTTGTGTGTACGACACATTATGTATATGAGCGAATAAAATGAAAATGAGTAAAAAAACAAAAACAACAACAGAGAGTGAGTGAGACATGCTGCAACATGATAAAGTAAAGTTATTGCAAATTTCTATATGTGTGTATTTGCAAGAGTAATCCTATGTGAGATATATAATTGTAAAAAAATCTCTATATACATGCTTATCGTAAAGTTTTGAGTCACTTAGAATTGTTATTAAAGTTTTGTGTTTTTGATGGGGTCTATCCAGTTTTAGGGGGGTCTTTTAATTAATGATATTACTATTGAAGCTTTTAATTGTAAAATATTGAATTTTAGAGCTTTAAACTTTTGTTTTAATTCTGATGATTAAGCTAGTTTATTGATGATCCATTGATCCAGGAACAGTAAAGTAAAAACTTGTATTAAATCTAAAAGGCCAATTTAATGTCTTAAACCTTAAGCAAAAAAAATGTTTCGAATTTTTATCCATAATTAAGTTAAGAATATAAATAAATAAAAAGCAGAGATCGAAGCCGATTTTTTCGGCTTAACTCAATTTTTGATTTTTTTGATAGAAAAAAGCCATTTGACACCCATTTCAAGTATTTAAATTGAACTTTACATGCTTTACTATGATTCTGTGTAATATTTTGTCAGCATGTAGCTATAGTAAGCTCAGAATTTCAAGTTAAACGATTTTAAGCCGAAATTTAAGCCGATCGGCTTAAAATCGTTTAACTTGAAATTCTGAGCTTACTATAGCTACATGCTGACAAAATATTACACAGAATCATAGTAAAGCATGTAAAGTCCAATATAAATACTTGAAATGTGTGTTAAATAGCTTTTTTCTATCAAAAAAATCAAAAGTTGAGTTAAACCGAAAAAATCGGCTTCGATCTCTGATAAAAAGGTTAAATTGAGGAAAAAAAAAATCTAGGAGCGTAACCTTAGATGCCCAAGCTACCCTTCTTGAAATTGGCATTGAATTCAAATATTTTTGGCACATTTTCTTTAGGATACAATGCACTTGTAGGTAGGGTGCCCAGATATTTTTTGAAAAAATAAAGGACCTGAAAGTATTATTTAGGACATCCGTTTTCTGGACGAATTAAAACAAAACTATTTTATTTTTAAAAAATGAAAATAAAAGAGGACTGTCCTCTGAAGAACCAAGCACATGGTGAGCCTATTTATAGGTCCACTTTGACTGGCTGGTTGGCTGGGTGCTACGAGTGCTCGGAATTGGAAGAACTTAAAGATTTCTGGTTTTTTGCATTTGATAGCTGTAAATTAGTAGATTTGCAGGCTTTTTGTTATATTCAAAAAAACCTCCTAGTTTGTTAATTAAATTAACCTTTCTTTTTTCGGTGGCATAGCTTATTTTTACAAAACACGACATTGAATTTAAAAAAAAAAAACAATAAATTTTGAAAAATAGTATAATAATGTGTGAAGGGCCCAACGTTTCAGCTAAAGGCACTGCGATTCAATTTAAGAAAAAAATTTTTTTACCAATCAAATATCATGATAAATAACTTTAAAGCCTTGTGACACATAGGCAATCAATATATGCAAGGAAAATGCGCTTAGTTTGTCCTCTCACATCTGTAACGGCCGCTTCTATACTGGTTTGATTGTTTCTTAACTTTTAATCGCACTTAATCAACTAAACTTACCAATTTATTCAATAAAAAATACCGACACTATTAAATACATATAAAGCCCCTAAAAAAGGCTTCATTCTCTCTCTTTTGGTCTTTAATTCTCATTTTTTACACACCCACAACAACAATGCACACACGAAATTATTTACTCGTTATAGTAAATGTCAGATCTGGCAATGCAAAACAACACAACATCAAAACGACCTCGACAAATGTTAAACCCTGATCATGAAAATCAACAGAATAATGAAATAATCAGTAAGAAACGACCGAAAGTGAAACGTAACAACTCAACATCAAGTGTCGATTTATGTCAGCGTATCTCAAAAGCCATTGAGAATATTCTCATTTTAACAAAGAACGAGGAATTTCGTAAGAGTTGCTTTCAACTTTTAGGTGTCGAGAATAGCTCGGATGCTGGTACAAAGATAAAAGAGTTGGCTGAATCGCTCAAGGGCAAGAAGCAGCAACAACAGCAGCATAAAGGTGATAAGAAAAGAGCTCCTTTGAAGAGAAAAATCAATGAAAATCCCAACCAAACAGACGGACCACGTACGTACGTAAAGATCTCTCTTAATACTCTTACATAAAAGTATATAAATATATGAAAGAATTCTTTACAGTCAGAAGCAGGCAAGAGAGAAGCAAAAAAACACGAGAATGAAACAAAAAATCCGTGAATGAAGTGTGGAAGTAGGACAGCAAGTAAATTTTACTATTCATTCGGATTCGTGTAGAAAGAGAGAGAATCGAGTGAGTAAGAAAGGGACAGCAGAAAAAAATGTGTTGGAAGTTGTTGTAAAAAAAATTATTTCTTTATTCTTTTTCGTTGGAAAAATACTACGGCATTATTGACATGCGTAGAAAATAATAGTAATGAGATTCTTTGGGGAGATTTCTTTAACTATTTATGGCTATTTTTTTTTGGTAGATTTTTTTTATATCCTTTAAGGTTTTAAGGATTTATTTTACACTATTATTTTGTATCAGAATTTAAACTATTAATGTGAATCTTGACTGTCATTAATTTTGATATTCTTTCGATCACGTATTCAAGTTATTGATTAAACATTTTACATTGACTTCTCCGACATATGATTTTCAATTATGACAACAACAAACCTTTTTTTTGTGTGACTTTGAGAATTTTAACTTACCTGTTTTGTAGAACTTCTCGCCTTAATTCACTTTAACTTTGATGATTTTCTAATTTTTCAATACTTTAGTGTTCAATTTTTGATATTCTTAATTTGTACTTCCTCAAATTTCATCACTTTTCACGAGAAAATTTTCGGCAGACTATTTTTGTTGTTTGCTTTTATCGAAATATGTGCGTATTTTTTTTTTCACTTTCTACGTTCTTTCTGTATCGTGTGTTGGAATGCTGGAAAGCGGTTGTGTTGCACTGGAAAGTGACAGAAAATTTTATGAATGAGTTTTGTGTTGCGCCACGTGTTGCTCTTTTATGTTACTTTTTATTTGAATTTTGAGCCTAACGATATTTCTTTGTTCTGAGAATAATTTTGGTTTTTAAAAGAAAGATTTGAAATTTTATTAGAATTTTCAGTTTCTATTCACAATAATTTTATAGGTACTTAATTGACATTAATTCTTGTCCAATTTTTGTCATCTAAGGTAAGTCATTCCCTAGCAGAAATTCACTGGTGATTTCCTAGTAATTTACTGGATAACTTTCCATTTGCTACTTGCTATTTACTAGTCAAAATCCAAGTTCAAATCTTCGCCAAAGACCCGCATTTTCACTTGCTAATTGACTAGTCAATTCGCTTACAATTTAACTAGTAATTTACTACCAAATTTGTAAAAAATATATAACCGTTGGTTACCACGTGTTTTTTTTGATTTTTCTTATTTGTGTAAATTATTGTAAAAGTATCAGTGTGTACTTAGTTAATTAAAGTACACTAACACTATGAAAAAATATAAAAGACTTAATTTAATTAAGTCGAACACTGATGAACGCCCATGACTCGCACGCAAACCTGAGGAAGATTAATATTTAATTGAGAGTCACATACAAATTTGGATCGAGCTTATAAAGGTGATTTCTGTGCGCTCTTGTAAAGTAATGGCAAATGCCAAATCTAGAACAAAATTTTTTATGACGCAAAAAATTATTTTTTTGATGATTTTTCGTAGGATTTGAACTTAAGCAGATTTGATCAAACATTTTACATTGTAATTTGCTAGTAAAAAGCTAGTGTAATTTGCTAACAGTAAGTTGTTTTAATATTCACTAGTAAATTGCAAGTAGTATAATAGAAAGACTAGCTATTTACTAGTTAGATTGAAGGAAATGCAACACATCGTAATATAAAACTTGACGGGATCTGCTTCCGTAATTGAAATCAGCGTGATTGTAGTTAGGAATTATTCTGTTATACTTGACATTCGGCAACCAGTTGATTAAATGGTCAATGTCCTGTGAATAGAAAGGTAAAGTCCTATTTAGTAGATTTAGCAGTTTGATGGAAAGAGGCTGTTGATAGGGACAGTATTAGAAATTGACAAGCGGTAGTCAGCGATAAAGCAAGCTTCAGGCACTTAGTATCAGGGATGTAGCAAAAAGGGTTTAAACTATTCCTCTGCTTAAAATAGAAGTATGTAATTGGCAGTTGAATCTTACCTTTTGAGATGATAAATAATCCTCAGTTGCTCGATAAATATAAGTTGGGATTTTAACATTCGATAGAATATAATCAGGAGGTTCTAAAGTTCCATAAATCCAAACATTATCCTTTCCATAATCATATTTTCTGAATTTTCCACTTCGATATAACTGCAAGAAATGATCCATTTGCTGAACGCTCAAAAATGGAGATGTGTGATCAGTTAAATACAACAGAAGATCCTAAAAATAAATTGTGTTAAATTTAAGATTGAATATTTTAAAATATTTTATTCTCACCGAATCAATCTCCAGATTATCTTTATTGGATCCCGTAAACATAAAAAATGGAAGTTTGCAGAGTTCACTCCAAAAAGGATTCATCGAAACATCACAGATAACTTTGGTTACTGGACTTATTGCAGTGACAATTTCCTTGAAATTCAAATACTTCACATTGTTTTTGATGCAAATGTCGATGAATGGAACTACTAATTTTCTTGCAAATGGATTGGGAAGATATTTCATAAATGCTACAGGTGAGAAAAAATGAGCTTGAATAATTTTTGAATTATATTCTGGTCGATTTGATAGCAAAGCTAGTAGACTTGATGTTCCCTGTATATAATATATGAAATTATTATTGAGGCTTAAAAAATATCAATTTAAAATTGAACCTGTGAGTGACCGACGTAGAATAATTTAGATTTGCCTGTAAGACGCAGCACATAATCAATCATAGCTGCAACATCGTAGGTTCCAATTTCATTGAATGAAAAGTTCCATAAATTTGAATAATTTGCTGTTTTACGATCGATGAACGAATGACGACTGCCGCGAGAATTTCCCATAAAAACATCAAAATTGTTGTCAGCCAGAAGATATGCCAAAGCTTTATTCTTTCCTGTGATGACGTAATCCACAGAATTACTCAATATTCCATGCATAAGAAAGACAGGCATTGTTTCTGTTGTTTCTCTTTTGGGAAAAATTCTATGAATTTTTACAATCCATCCACTGTCCTCAGTTGCTGTATGATAAGCAGCTCCTTGATACCCAGCTTGGCTGATAAAATTTAACACATTGTCACTTTCTTGAGATAACTTTTCTTGCGAACTCGAAACGATTATTAAGATTATTAAACTTTTAAGCATATTTGCCGAAACTTTAAATAATATTTTTTGAAGATTAATGGTAAATTATTTGTGGAATTAGAGGATGATTAAAAATTTTCAAATTTTTTTTATCTTAAGAATTTAACATTTTTTGAAGCAAAACTGTTTTGGTTCTTTGACAAAATATACTAAACATCTAAAAAAGATTCTAGTCAGAACTTTATGTCTACAAATGCCAAAATGATACTAAAAGAAAATGAACCCGTTAGTAGTCTGCAAATGTTGAATTTAAATTTTTTATGCACCTGCTGCTAATAAATATTTAAATCGGAAGAAAATTCTGTTTAGTCAATTTAATCGCAATTCTGAAAGCGTATAAAAGGCTTTGTATCATAAATAGTTGATTACCTTGAGGAAAATGCACTTTTTTTTATAGTAAAATATTTTGAATTAGGGGTTTTGATTATAATCTATGAGGGCTGGCTTAGATAACAAAATATTCGGAAGTAAATTTTATGTTGTGCAAGTTTCGCAAATATTTTTAAACAACAGATTCTTAATTAGCATCAACTGATTCCAAAAAACTATGCTTAAATTAAAATAGTAAATATCAAACGAGAAATTGTTCTGTCTGCCATTGTTTTAAAAGTCAAGGAACATTAGAAGATTTTTTGAACACAAGAAACATAATATCTATCAACCTGCACTTTCGAAATTCTATCCGTTTATTGATTGTAAATAGATTTTTGACTTAATTATGTTAAAGAAAGGAAAATCTTTAACACGGGTGGAGTTTAAGATGCCGTTTGTATGCCTTAACGTAATTATCAGGCGCTTAGCCAGGAGGGTCTTGTCCCCCACTTAAGCGTTTTAGACCGTGCTCTTGCTGCGGTTCAAAATGTTTAAGGGGGGAATAAGAGCAATGTCGGCTTGGCGTTGGGTTTCAGATCGATCAACCGACTTGTGCTATCCGTGCTAAGTTTAATGATTATAAATAGGATCGGATTTCATGAATTTCAATACATCGTAATATAATATTCCGCGAGATCTGCTACCATAATTAAAGTCTGCATGATTATAGTTTTGAATCACTCGATTATGTTTCACATTTGGTAATAGTTCAATCAAATGATCAATATCCTGTGAATTAAGATGAATATGGTTAGTGCCATCTTTAATTAATGTTTGCAATAATTTATCGAATCCAGACCACCAACCACTGACAAAACTTTAGTTTATGGACAATTCAGTTTTACTTACGGGGCTGTTCACTTATTACGTAACGCGAAAAAATGACTTCTTAGACCCCCCCTCCCCCCCTCGTAACAAAATTTGTATGAAAAAAAAATTTCCTTGTTTGAACCGTAACAAAATCTTAGACCCCCCCCTCCCCCTAAAAGCGTTACGTAATAAGTGAATGGCCCCTACCCTTCGCGATGACAAAAGGTCTTCTGGAGCACGGTAAGAGTAGATTGGAGCAATAATATTCGAGATATTATATTCAGGTGGTTCCGTAGTTCCATAAATCTTCATATTATTCATTCCATAATCATATTTTCTAAACTTTCCACTTCGATAAGATTGCATGTAATGATCGATTTGTTGCAAGCTTATTGTGTAGGAAATGTGATCAACAAAAATTGGAAGAATATTCTGCAAAAATTTGTAAATTATAAATTGTGTGATTAATATCAAAATTATTCGATTCTTACTGGGTCAATTTCTGAATGAAATGTATTTGTCCCAATAAATGCAAAAATAAACGATTTACAAAGTTCTGTAGTGACTGGATTAATGGCTGTATTGCAGAAAATCTTAGTTAAAGGATTAGCTGCTGTCAAAATTTCTGTTAAATTCACCAACTTTAAATTTCTTTGGATTGCATTTTCAACAAGCGGTGCTATAATTGACTTAACAATTTGATTAGGAAAATACTTCATAAATGCTGTGGGTGCAAATAAGTGAGCTTGAATAATTTTCGAATTATATTCTGGGCGAGTTGATAGCAATGTCATTAAACTTGTTGTGCCCTGTGCAAAATATTTAAAATTATAAAAAATAATCTCGAGTGTAAGTTAACAATTTTAACCTGTGAATGACCGACGTAGAATAATTTAGGTTTGCCTGTTAGACGCAGCACATAATCAATCATCGCTGCAACATCGTAGGTTCCAATTTCATTGAATGAAAAGTTCCATAAATTTGAATAATTTGCTCTTTTATGATCCACAAATGAATAACGACTGCCGCGAGAATTTCCCATAAAAACATCAAAATTGTTGTCAGCTAAGAGATATCCTAGAGCTTTGTTCCGTCCAGTTATTACATAGTCCATACTATTCACAATTAATCCATGCATAAGAAATACAGGCATCGTATTTGTCATTTTTCTTTTAGGAAAAATTCTATGAATTTTTACAATCCATCCATTGTCCTCAGTTGCTGTTTGATAAGCAGCTCCTTGATATCCAGCTTGTCGAATTAATTCTAATACATTGTCACTTTCTTGAAATAATTTTCCTTGTGAACTTGCAATTAAAATTAAGACTGTTAAACTTTTAAGCATGTCAATAAACTTATTTAGACCTAATTTTTAAAATCTTAATTTTTTTAACAACACTATAGGCTCAATGACAAAACATACTGATCTTAGGAATTTTTATCTATGAAAATCAAATGCCAAAAAATACTATTAATAAACTGACCCCGTTTTTGGTCTGCAAATTGTTCTCATGAAAAATAAAATGATCTCTAAAAATCTTAAGCTACAAAATGATCATCAGTTTTCTGACTTTAATCCTTAAACATTAACATTTTGTAAGGAACTAATAGATAATGAATAACCAAAAATCAATCGCAATTTTAAAAGTATATAATTTTTTTTTGTTTTTTGCAAAAAGATGATAACTTGTGTGATTCGTTGACATTATAACATTTTGAATCAGAGATTCCCATTATCATTTATCGGGAAAAAAACTCTTAACTAGAATCTCTGATCTCTATTACAAATCGTAATAATATCGAGCAAGAAGCGGTTGTAGATTTTTGGGATATTGTTGAATTTTACGCCTTGCAAGCTTTCAAAAAACCGGGATAATATTCCTATACTAGAATTGAAACAATCAAGATCAAACGAGAAGTTTTTTTTCCTTCTTGCTATTATTTTAAAGGTCAAAGAAGATATGGAATAAAATTTATTTCAATTATTAAGAATGAAAATTTCAGCATGAATTCCATTTGATTTCCGAATTTTAAAAAAAAAATCTTTAACTTAAAAACTTTAATTTTTTTACAATTTCTAATGAAGTGACGTCATTTAGTCCTTCGGTTCTTTACAGTTTATTTAATTTAATTAAAAGTTATGAAAAAAAAAAAAAATAAAAAGCTCTAATATTTTTATTAAATAATAATCCCGATATTCACAAAAGTTTATTGATTTAAATATAATTTTTGACTAAGTTCTGTTAATTTAATGTCAATGCCTATAAATAAGTTCAGATTTCATAAATGTCAACACATCATAATATAATATTTTACGAGATCTACTACCGAAGTTGAAGTCAACATGATTAAAGTTAGGAATTATTCGATTATACTTCACATTGGGTAATAATTCAATTAAATGATCAATGTCCTGTGAATCAAAATATCAAATTATGGTTAGAAAATTACTAGAATGATGATTATCCCAATAACACAAGTCGGTTAATCGAGTAGAAATCCGTTGCCAAGTCAGCATGTCTTTGATTTAAATCCACATCCGGAACCAAGCCGGTGTGACTTTGGTTTGGTGCTAGATTTAAATCAAAGCCAGAGTCATACCGATTGGGCACCGGATTTCTATTTGACTAACAGCCTTGTGCTGTTCGGGTTAATGCTTACCCTTCGAGATGCTAAAGAGTCCTCAGTGCCTCGATAAATATAAGTTGGAACCTTAACATTTGATAGAATATAATCAGGAGGTTCTAAAGTTCCATAAGTTTGAACATTTCTACGGCCATAGTCATATTTTCTAAATTTTCCACTTCGATATAGCTGCATGTAATGATTCATTTGCTGTACACTTAATAATGGCGATAAGTAATCAGTAAGGTTTAACAGCAGGTCCTAAAATTAAGTGTTTAATTTAAAGTTTCGTTCCAAAAGTAAAGTCAATATAAAGTGTCATTCTTACCGGATCAATCTCCAACTTATATTTATTTGGACCAGCAAACAAAAATATAATAGATTTGCAAAGATCACTCCAGAAAGGATTCATTGAAACGTCACAGATTACTCTTGTCAAAGGACTCACACTTGTAATAATTTTCGTAAAATTCAAAAACTTTACGTTATTTTGGATGCACATGTCCAAGAATGGAAGAACTATTTTTCTCGCATGAGGATTTGGCAGATACTTCATGAATGCTACAGGTGAAAATAAATGAGCTTGAATAATTTTTGAATTATATTCTGGTCGGTTTGATAGCAAAGCTAGTAGACTTGATGTTCCCTGTATAAAATATATGGAATTAATGTTGAACCTCATAAACTATCATTTTAATATTGAACCTGTGAGTGACCGACGTAGAATAATTTAGATTTGCCTGTAAGACGCAGCACATAATCAATCATAGCTGCAACATCGTAGGTTCCAATTTCATTGAATGAAAAGTTCCATAAATTTGAATAATTTGCTGTTTTACGATCGATGAACGAATGACGACTGCCGCGAGAATTTCCCATAAAAACATCAAAATTGTTGTCAGCCAGAAGATATGCCAAAGCTTTATTCTTTCCAGTGATTACATAGTCTACAGAATTTGTTATTATTCCATGCATAAGGAATACAGGCATTGTATTTGCCATTCTTCGTTTAGGGAAAACTCGGTGAAGTTTTAGAATCCATCCATTATTGTCCTCAGTTGTTATTTGATAGGAAATACCTCGATATCCAGCTTGTCGAATTAAACTAAGCACATCATCACTGTCTATAGTAAGTTTTCCTTGCGAACTTGCAATTAAAATCACGAATATTAAATATTTAAACATTGTCACTAATTTGAATTAAATCCTTTGACTAGTTAATAATGCTTTATAAAGAAAACTAATCCTGAGGTTGGAGAATGTTTATTCTTGATTACTAAAGAAATTAAATTAACAATATGAAATAGATTTCATTGTTGCCTCGACTAAGATTATTAAACTAATGAAAAATTCTAAGATTTAGCAAATATTGCGGATTTTTTAATGTTCACAAACCTGTACAGATTTTTTTTTATTTTTGCCAAAAATGCCAAGATGATGAGGAAGCTTTGGAATACTAGAAAAACCATAGCCTCTGTTATTAGTTTTTTGACTGTAGAAACTTAGGAGTTGTTTAAAAATTATGTCTTTTAAAAATTATAGTTTTCAAAGTATCACAAAAAATTAAGTTTCAAGATATGAAAAAGTCTTAAAATTCCATAAACTCTCAATGTTGGATATCATTTGTTAATGACCCTATAAAATAATTTATTAACATAAAGATGTAAACCTTGAAAAAGCTGGCAATTTTTTGAGATGTTGCTGTTGATGATCTGGGAGTTTCTAATAAAAATAACAATTGACTGTAGATGGATTTGATAAAAAAAGAAATTCCCAACAGTCGAAAAATGTCATGTAATGCTGAGAGGGCTCATCTTCTTTTGTTTAGATTACATTTGGTATTTCCGACATAATTCGGTCGTTGACTTTTTGATGTGAACTGATTTTGAGCTGATTTCGTTAACATTTTAGGTTCGATATATTGATGCAATATTAAAATATTCTTGCAACTTCAAAATTCGTTTTGCAAAACTCACGGATGGTTCCTTAAAAAATGGAAACAATTGTGACAAAAGCTTAGTGCACTAATAATTTAAAATAATAAAACCAGAATTTGAATATAATTAAATTCCAATAAAAAACAACTTTAATTGTTCCAAATTATATAAAAGTTTAATGCTTAAAATACTTAAATTCTTTATTAACTTGAAATTTGTACCAAATTACCCATCACAAACCACAGTTGACATAGAACTCATATTTGGTTAGATCACCAGCTTAATGTCTATTCAGAAGCTCCAATTGAAAGAATTTTAATATGTCATAGTACAATATTTTGCGAGATCTGCTTCCATAATTAAAGTCTGCATGGTTATAATTTTGAATCACTCGATTATGCTTCACATTTGGTAATAGTTCAAGCAAATGTTCTGCATCCTGTGGAATAAATAATGGTTAGCGTAATCGGAGCTTTGATTGATAATAATGTGGTTAAATGTTAAATTTTGTATTTAAAAGTAATTAAAAAGTTATTGAGAAAATTATTATTTTTTTATCAATTTTAATGATAAATCCAGAGCTCGAAGTCTACTCGAGTAGACTCGAGCCCTATCAACTTCGAGCTCTGAATAAATCTAATGATACATTTATGATTTATCTTACCCTTCGCGATGACAATAGATCTTCTGGAGCACGATAAGAGTAGATTGGAGCAATAATATTCGAAATATTATATTCAGGTGGTTCCGTAGTTCCATAAATCTTCATATTATTCAGTCCATAATCATATTTCCTAAACTTTCCACTTCGATAAGATTGCATGTAATGATCGATTTGTTGCAAGCTTACTGTGTAGGAAACGTGATCAACAAAAATTGGAAGAATATTCTGCAAAAATTTGTAAATTATAAATTGTGTGATTAATATCAAAAATTATTCGATTCTTACCGGGTCAATTTCTGAATAAAATGTATTTGTTCCAATAAATGCAAAAATAAACGATTTACAAAGTTCTGTAGTGACTGGATTGATGGCAGTATTACAAAAAATCTTAGTTAAAGGATTAGCTGCTGTCATAATTTCTGTTAAATTCACCAACTTTAAATTTCTTTGGATTGCATTTTCAACAAGCGGTGCTATAATTGACTTAACAATTTGATTAGGAAAATACTTCATAAATGCTGTTGGTGCAAATAAGTGAGCTTGAATAATTTTTGAATTATATTCTGGGCGAGTTGATAGCAGTGTCATTAAACTTGTTGTGCCCTGTGCAAAATATTTAAAATTACAAAAAAAAAATCTCCAGTGTAAATTAACATTTTTAACCTGTGAATGACCGACGTAGAATAATTTAGGTTTGCCTGTTAGACGCAGCACATAATCAATCATAGCTGCAACATCATAGGTTCCAATTTCATTGAATGAAAAGTTCCATAAATTTGAATAATTTGCTCTTTTGTGATCAACAAATGAATGTCGACTGCCGCGAGAATTTCCCATGAAAACATCAAAATTGTTGTCAGCTAAGAGATATCCTAGAGCTTTGTTCCGTCCAGTTATTACATAGTCCATACTATTCACAATTAATCCATGCATAAGGAAGACAGGCATCGTATTTGCCATTTTTCTTTTAGGAAAAATTCTATGAATTTTTACAATCCATCCATTGTCCTCAGTTGCTGTTTGATAAGCAGCTCCTTGATATCCAGCTTGTCGAATTAATTCTAATACATTGTCATTTTCGTTAACCAAAATTCCTTGACAATTTACTATTAAAATTCCGATTATGAAAATTCTCAACATTTTATTTAAATAACGTTCTTAACAATTCGGGTTCTGTAAATCGACTGAATAAAATTCTCAATCCCACATTGCTGAGCAATTAGAGCAATTCAAATGTAATGATTGTCAATAATCTCGATGATTAAACCGTAATTAATGTTTGAAACTGAAATTATTGTCATGACATTTTTCACATACAAACAATTATTAATATGAAGGATATATTCGAGTTGTTGAGAGAAAAAAAGTGAGGACATCGAAAGATCAACTTCTAAATTTCAAAAGTTGTAAATTGTTGAATGCAGTTGAATGATGTTCTTTCACAATTGTTTAAAATACACAAAAATTTTTATTGCCTTAAATTTTCCACATCCAATATCAATCACAATTCATAATTAATTTAAAATTAACATTTGGTTAAGTCACAAGCTTAATGTCTATAGTAAGACTCTGATTGAATAAATTTTAATACGTCGTAGAAGAATACTTTGCGAGATCTGCTTCCATAATTGAAGTCTGCATGATTATAGTTGGGAATTATTCGATTATGCTTCACATTAGGTAATAATTCGATCAAATGTTCTGTATCCTGTGGTTAAATAATCATTATTAGTGCCTATGTTTTAAGAATTAGTTCTGGCATTTAAATGAATTGTTGGCGATGTTTTGGTAGAATCTGAAGTAAGTTTAAAAGAATCCGATCCAAAACTAAGTCAAAGATCAATTGATAATTTGACAGTGAATCAAAGTCTATATATGCTGGTATTTAAATATTTTTGGAGATAATTCGAAGCACATTTTGTTAAATAGTGAACAAATTGTAACCAAACAATGAATTATTTTACAATGAAAGGAGAACAAATTAGTAATTATTTTGAACGATAAAGTAACTTCTGTCCAGAAATGATAACACAAAATTTTTAAATAGTTAATAGATTCACTTAATTAAAGCACTGGCCAGTTGTTCAATCAGAAATCCGACTTTAAGCCGTCATGGTCCAGAAATGGTTCTAAATTCGATTTAAATCGAAGAGCAGGTATGGCTTGTCTTGGGATTTCTGATCGATTAATCGATTTTTTTCTATCCTGGATCATTCAACAATCAATAGATCTTTGACAGCTAGATCTTTAAGAATCAAACCATGCAAATCTATAAACATTTTCACAAAACTTCACCAAACATTCGAATCGTACCCTTCTTGAAGCCAAGTAGTCTTCTGTAGCACGATAAATATAAATTGGAGCAATAATATTAGAAATATTATATTCAGGAGGTTCCGGAGTTCCATAAATTCTCATATTATTCAATCCATAATCATATTTCCTAAACTTTCCACTTCGATAAGATTGTAAGTAATGATCGACTTGTTGCACGCTTAATGTATACGAAATGTGATCAACTAGATCAGGCAGAATGCTCTAAAAATATTTTATAATTAATTTTAAATTCAAAAATAAACATTAAGACTGTCTTACTGTATCAATCTCCGAATAATACGTGTTTCTTCCAGCAAATATAAACACAACAGATTTACAAAATTCTGTAGTTATTGGATTGATGGCAACATTACAGAAAATCTTAGATAAAGGATTAACAGCTGTTAAAATATCTGTGAAATTTACAAATTTCATTTTTCTCTCCATTAAAACTTCAATTAGGGGAACTATAAATGATTTCACAAATGGATTAGGAAGATATTTCATAAATGCTACAGGTGCAAATAAGTGAGCTTGAATAATTTTCGAATTGTATTCTGGGCGGGTTGATAGCAGCGCTATTAAACTTGTTGTACCCTGTGACAATGTAAATGAAAAGTAGAAATAATTAAAAAAAAATTAAAATGATTATTAATAATTTTTTTTAACCTGCGAGTGACCGACAAAAAATAATTTAGGTTTGCCTGTTAGACGCAGCACATAATCAATCATAGCTGCAACATCGTAGCTTCCGATTTCATTGAATGAAAAGTTCCATAAATTTGAATAATTTGCTCTTTTGTGATCCACAAATGAATGTCGACTCCCGCGTGAATTTCCCATAAAAACATCAAAATTGTTATCAGCTAAGAGATATCCTAGAGCTTTGTTTCGTCCTGTAAGGATGTAGTCCATACTGTTTACAAATAATCCATGCATAAGAAAGACTGGCATTGTATTTGCCATTTTTCTTCTAGGAAAAATTCTATGAATTTTCACAATCCATCCATTGTCCTCAGTTGCTGTTTGATAAGCAGCTCCACGATAGCCAGCGTGCCGAATCAAGTCTAACACATCATCATTTTCGGGAGATAAAATTCCTTGTGTGCTCAAAACTAAAATCCCGACTACAAAAATTCTCAACATTTTATTTAAAAAACGTTCTTAACAATTCGGGTTCTGAGAATCGACTGAATAAAATTCTCAGTCGTTCGTTTTTGAGCACTTCAAACTCATCAAAATGTAATGAATGAAAATAAACTCGATGATTAAACCTTAATTAAATGCCTGAAGCAAAAATCATATTCATGACATTTTTCACACATAAATAAGTTGAGTATCAAAGCTTCTTAATTACATTTTTTTGACTTGTTTTATTATTTTAGCTAATATGAGATCACACCTTAATTTTAAAATATTAATTACTTAATCACATAAGACAATAATTTTGGAAGTCATTCACTTATGGCAGTAAATGGAAGTTTGAGACTGTTTTACTTTCTAGCATAGATGAAATGGTCATAAAGAATTGAAACTTGCTATTTTCACCAAAATCACGAAAACTCTCAATTTCTAATGAACATTAGGTCATGTCCAGTTTTAATACAATTGTTACAGTCCATAAACTCTTAAAGTCCTTGACATATGACTCTCAAAAATCATTGCTGACGTCTTCATTCGCTCTTTGATCCTCCTCCATTTGTATCGATTCTAAAATATCTTTGTAAAGAATTTTGCGTGCATTTTTAGAATATACAAAATCTATATGATTCCAGTTGTTTAGCACTCGATAATCTCGTACGTTTGGCAGTTGTGTCTTCAGATAGGCAGCTCCCTGTAGAAAATGAGACGATGATTTGCAAAAAAAATAAGCTAAATGATTATTAGAGTCGATTAAGTTTTTGAATATATAAATATTCTCTTGAGATTGCAATTATGAGACAAAACAGGATTTGAAATTTTGATTAATTTTTCAATTGATCTTTGAGTTTCAAAGATATTTTTAAAAGAGTCAACTTGATCAAATCGCAACCTTGACATATTTTGTTATTTTATATCTGGGATGATTGTCAGAAAATTTGAATATTTTATTTGAAGAATCAGTAAACAAAAATACTTTTTAAAGCAGTGGTTCTCAAACGGTGTGCCGCGGTACACTTTATTATCATGATATATTTTGAAAGTGCCTCAAAAAAATTTGAAAACTCAAACTGATCATAAATTTTGATGTTTTATGACTTAAAAATGGTCATGAAAATCAATTAGTGCGCCGTGGACCAAAAAAGTTTAAGAAACACTGATTTAAAGCATAATTTTCAGCAAATCAGCTTGTTTTCTTATTAAATAATAAACAAAAAGAGTTAAATATTCATCAGATTATAGTTCTAATCTATAAAATTAAAGATTCGCTCTTACGTCCTTGAGACATTCGATGCCAAAAAACAAAATATCAAAAAAATCAGCTTTTAACAAATTTAAGATGACTCTCGTGAAAAAGCGGAAAACAACTGAAAAAACTACCGGTTTTTGCTGCTTGAAAATGATCAGTTTATTGATCTGAGATATTTAATATTTGTTGACAATAGCCGGCTTCTGTTTTGTCATCAATTCACTCGTGAACAATTCAACAATTTTATTTACCGGTAATTATGAATTGCTTCCGCAAATTAATCTCTGTACGCTGATCAGTAAATTTTGAAGTGATGAACAATGATTTGCGGAATTTATAAAAATTATTATGGTTGCTTCTTGAACTTGACAGCTATTAGCAAATAAAATATATGATCAAATGAGAAATTAATGATTCTTTTTAAAAGGGTTATGAACATTTGGGAATCAAGGTCGAAAGAAAGGGATAAGAAGCTTTGGATGCAAATATGAGTTAGAATCAAGGCTTTGGCACTCGGAAATATTATATTTAAATTGTTATCTTTATTAAATTATTCATAATGTAGCTACCAGACGAGTAGCCAGGAGGGTCTTGTCCCTCTCTTAAGTGTTTTAGACCGTGCTCTCGCTGCAGTTCAAAACGTTTAAGGGGTGAACAAGACACTCCTGGCTAAGCGCCTGTTCCTCACCTCTTTTGTAATAAAATTATCAAACGCTGCATGATACAAATAAATCGGAGCTTCAATGTTCTTCAACTCATAATCCGGAGGTGTTGTTGAATTATAGAATTTCATATTCTCGCTTTTATAGTCAAATCTGCGAAATTTGTTAGACATCATGTTCTGAAAATAATGCGTGAGCTGCATGGTGCTAACACGTGGAGACATATAGCTAAGCAACTTCGGAATAAGGTTCTAAAACATTAATTTAACAAAATTTTAAATAAGTTTTTTCAATGAAATTTGAAATTTTCTCACCAAATCAATTTCTAATATGTTTAGGGTTTTCCCTCCAAAAGCTGCTTTAATGACTTTTTTACACATTTTAAACACGAAGAGGTCAATGTCTCTACACACAGCTGTTGTAACCAATTCACCGATTCTAAACAAATGACGTAACTCCAAAAACCTGATTTCGTCGTGTTTGTCCTTGAGAAAAAAAAACAACAACAAAGAAAAGAATCAAAGCTGGGTCAGCACGGCTACTCGTATGAAGATGCTATGTCAGAAAAAAATAAATAAAATCATTACCAGAAACTTCAGACCAAAAAAGACAATTAATGATTTTGGAATCTTCTTGCGAAACGCCGGCGGTGCCATTAAATGTGCTTGCATGATTTTCTGATTATATTCAGGCCTTGAAGACATCAGCACCAAAAAACTTGTTGTGCCTTGCGAGTGTGCAATATAATGAATATTCGATGAGCACGTTTCGTTTAGAACATAGTCTATTATACTGGGAAGGTCGTAATATCCCATCTCGTGCCAACTAAAACTCCAATAATTTTTCGATAAGGATGAAAATTTTTTATGGTTTGGTGAATGCTTGCTTCCGCGCCAATTGCCTAGTGATGAATTAAAGATATTGTTAATGAATTGCTTTGTATAATGAAAAAAAAAAACGAGCTGAAGACAGATTTGATATAAATTGGGGGCGGGGGGATTAGGGGGGAAGTTTTGAAACTCCTAGCAAACTGAAGAAATTTCTGATGACGATTTTTCCCCTAAATCCCTAGCTGGTCGTTAACATCATGCGAATAACAACAATACTAATGATTGAGAATCGGTCTATGATGGGAATCGAACCCACGTCTCGCAAACATCCAGTATGTTCCTTAAGCAATCGTGCCACAGAGGCATAACTCTAGCACTGGTAGATTCGCCTATATAAGGCTCGATATCTAAGAATCCATTCTGCTCTGACATCATATAAATGAATGCAAAATGTTAAGTGAATTGTTATGAATCTTTGACTGCGTTTGACATTTGTTATCAACAGCTGGTATATTGATAAAGTCATTTCCTATTCTATACAGTATGGCTAACAAGTTATTAACCTAGAATCTATAGTTAAATATTTCTTAGTGAATTAATTAACAATAACATTTTTCGTCACACCTGGATATGGAAAAAAGTGATTCCCGGTTGACTAATATTGACTAGGTTAGTTTTTTTATTGTCTGCAAATATTAGGCATTTTTTTCGCATTTAGAAACGTACATTCATCTCATTTCGAATGTTTATGAAATTGTAAAATTCTATTTAAGTCTATCTTGCAAAACATCTCCTAAATATTATTCAAATTAATGCTAAACCTCATTCTAAAATTAAGAACATCGATGATTATTATTATGAGATTCATCAGAAGAATTCTAAGTTTGTTTCCAATAACAATCTCTGCTAATTAGCGTTAAAAAGTATTTCTAGAATATTTATTATTTACTGTCCAAACATTTATCTTGGATGTACAAACACAATCCATGTCTTAAACATTCCTCTCACGTTCGCAAAATACACAGTCATTGAGTGTCACACGACTTTAATTTTTTATCTAACTTACCCAACCACACATCGTAGCCGTAATCAGATAGCAAATATCCGAGTCCAACATCTTGTCCAGTGACTAGAAAGTCAGCAGCTGTTGCCAAAATTCCATGCATGATAAGAATTGGACTCTTTCCATTTGGACTTTTTGGGATTATTCTATGTAATTTTAAGATGTATCCATCCTCAGTTTCAACATTGTGCGTCTCGCCAATATATCCAGCATTAATAATTAATTGAAGAACTTGATCACTTTCGTAAATACGTTGACTATTGATGATGCTAACGAATGAGATGAGGATGCAGAAATTTATTTTCATCTTTTAGTGCTCGATGTGTTAACTCTTCCAATTATCTAGCAGAACTGATAGACAACTCGGATTTATTTTTTAATGGTTTCAACTTATTTTAGAACAGAAAAATTGATTTCAAGTTTTACTCATCAATACCAACACGAATATTAATATGAGACACATGACAACGTGATTTTGAGATTCTGTAAAAAAAATTCACGTGATGACATAAAGAACTCAATGTTTGGACAACTCATTGTAGACATCTGAAGAGTGTCTTTAGAGATAAAAAGCGAATGTGAGGAAATATCTTGTTATATTTTGAGTTCTTCATGTTTTTGAGTGTGACTGATTACATCATAAAGGCTTTTGAGATGAAATGGAAGAAGATTATTCCCGAACAGCACAAGTCGGTTAATCGAATAGCCAAGCCCAGCCGGAATGATGCTAGCTTCTATTTAAATCCTGCACCATGTTAGAGTCACGCCAGCTTGGTGCTGAATTTCTGATCGATTAACTGATTTGTGCCATTCGGGATTGTGGCTTTAGAACAGAACAAGTTGAATGAATCTAAGGAAATGTTCAAATTGCAGCACAAATGCAAAATTTCTTGTTTAAAATGATAAAAACGAGAAAGACCTGAAGATGTGGTGATTAATAAAATCTTGATAGTAATTTAGGTCAGCAGCACTGACCATAGACATCAAAATGTGCGATGATGATGGTGAATTTCGAATTTCTTTTTTTCTGAATGATGCAAACATTCTTCCAAAATATAAAATGGAGTTGATTACGAATGATGTCAAGCTTTTAAGGATTTTCAAGGCTGGTTCTGAAACTTCGACACTTAATTTTGTGAAAAACTGTAACATATAAAAATCTTATGGAATTCTAGCAATAAAACAGAAGTTCTTGCGAAGGTTTTTATATCAATAAAAGTCAATCTAAACTAAGTCGTATCAAATGGAATCCAGCACCATGCCAGAATTACACCAGCTTAGTGCCGGATTTCTTTTCGATCAACCGACTTGTGCTATTCGGGGACATCAATTATTTACGATTACTTTAAGTTTAAAACTATGAAATTATGCTCAACCTTGTCTCAACCAATGCTAATTTTATTATCTCTGATTATATATTTATTAAGTATAATCTAATCAATTCTAATCATCGATCATTAAGTCAAATTAAAAGCTTCAGCTTAGAACTAACGATTTAAAAGAATCTTTTTTAACAAAAAAAAAAGCAAAATTTCATCTCCACCAAACCTTGACAGCTGTTTGCATAGCCCACATTGTTACATCGTGCTAAAAATGTTTTCTTTTTCGCCATGTCAACAAACGAGTTTCCCTTTTTAAGTCGGAATTTTATCATACATTTGAATAAATTCCAGGTTGAGTAAACAATCAGTTCTTTCGATGCCAAATTGTCGAGAAGAGTAGCAACAAAAATAAATTTTACTTTTAAGATGAGAATAATATTTAGTTTTAGATAGACCTTGAAATTTTAATAGATAAAGAAGTAAACAAAAACATGTATTTTTGGTATTTTTGCACTGATTTATTTTACATCCTAATTGGCTATTTACAAAAAATTCTAATTTTTGACTCTTACACATCGTTTTGTATGTTTTCGAAAAACCTTAAAATATCCTTGTATAATAATTTATGGGAATTTTGACCATAAATAAAATCAAAGTGGTTGTAATTTGGTATCATCTTGTAGTAAGCTACATTTTTGAGTGACTTCGCCAAGAATTCAGAGTCCTAAAATTGAGAGAAAAATTAATTATTACAAATGTGTTCTAGCTAGCGATTGCAGGAGAATTGCTGATGAATTTTTGAAATATTTAAATTGATGCTCATTATTTAGTAATTTTGAAGATGTCGCTAATATATTTTCTTAGAAATACTCTTAAGGTTCGTTCACTTAGAACGTCCAACATTTAAGGGGGCAGGGGGGTCAGGAAATTTGTGACATCCAATTTTCTTAGTCAGGAAATTATAATTTTTTGGTGTCTTGGATTCTACGTCACAAAGGGGGGGGTATTGACATCTGTGACAGTTTTCTGATGGACGTCAAAAGTGATCGGCCCCTTAGGACATTCATTATTTAGCATTTAAAATGACATGTCGACGTTTTGTTCATCAATTCTATTTTTGATTTCCATTTGACAAATTAAACTACTTTATAAACATTTTTAATTGTTAAGTCTAAGCCACGATTTTAAATGATTGTATTGATCAATGAAAAAGTTGCTGACAGAGAAAGTATTGAATTTGGTATTGATAATTGACAAACGATAGCCAGAGATAGAGCCAGCTTATGGCTAAGGAAGGCTATAGATTACAATTGATCTGTCCGGCCAGCGAAGTAAATAAGTAAAGTATTGATCAATGATCTTAATACAAAAATTCGCACTTCTTCAAATGGTTTTCCGGTAGTGTCTTGTTTGTCATTTATCAATTAACATGAATCATCAAATAATATTTTAAAATCACTGATAAACTTTATTTTTTCAACACTTTCTAAAATCTTAATGTTAAAGCTGTGTCTAATTATTTTATACCTGTCGCAAACATTTTAATCATTTCTTAATAATTTTAACAAACAATCTTAAAGCTACAAAGAATTCACTAATTAGAAACAAGTTCCTGCATTCACTTCATCTTCATTTCTTATAATTTTTTTTTTGCACAAAAATCTTGCTTATTTAAGACAACAGCAACGTTCAATCGCTTTAATCTTAATTTATTCTGCATGCGGAACAGCCTTGACTGAAAAACTCACCTTTCTATTAAAAATCGAATCTTCTTCACCGACATAAAAGTAGAGAGGAACATTTACATTCTCTAGATGATATCCAGGCGGTATTGTTGAATTATAAATTCGTAGATTTTTGTCAGCACCATAGTCGTATTGTCGAAACTTTGATGACATGATGATTTGAGCAAAATGCAGAAGCTGCTTTACTCCAATTTTTGGCGATAAATATTTAAACATAGTAACATAAGTTGCTGGATTAATTTCCGTTGATCGACGGTTACGTCCGACCATAAAAAATATAATATTTTTACATAATTCAACTCTCAATGGCCTCACTGAATTACAGAGCATTTTTGCTAGTTCCATTTGTAGCGGAATTAATGATTCCATATTTATGTACATCAGGTCTCGATTACTTTGAGCGTAATTTATTATTACAGGACTTAATAGCTGTCCTAGCTCATGAACATTTGGAAGGGCAGTCGCACATGACATCATGTGTGCTTGAATTAATTTATTATTATATTCCGGACGTGATGACAATAGCACTAGCAACTCTGTATTGGCTTGCGAATATCCCACATAGAAACATTTTGATTTATTTGTCGTCTTCAATGTAAAGTCAATAATCGCTTTGAGATCATAAAATCCAATCTCGTGCCAATCAAAATTCCAATATTCTTTCGATTCTGTTGACAATTTCTTATGTTTTGTTGCGAATTTTGTGCCTCGTCGTGAGCCTAAGAACACATCGTAATTATTATCAGCTAAGATAAATGGAAGTGAATTTTTCTTCCCGGTTATTAAAAAGCTCATCGGCGTTGTCATAAATCCATGCATTAAAAATACTGGAAATTTCTTCGACGTCGAATTCCTCGATCGAATTCTATGAACACCAATAATGTAATCATCTTCTGTCTCAATTTCATGAAAACTACCAATATAGCCTGAACGCGTGACTAACTCGAGTATTTCATCTTTTGCATAACAATTTAAAATTTTTGATATCACTACTGCCAACAGTAAAAATTCCATTTATCTTTTTCTTTTATTTTTGTTACACTAAATTAATTTATTTTTTTTTTCATCAACAAAAACAAGACGAAAATAAGAAAAAAATATTTTTTTTTGGAACCGCAATGCTCTACTAGCTTCTGGTCAGCTCAAATGCTGCAATAAGACTGAACAAACTCAGCGAGATTAAAATAATTAGTGAGAGAGAGAAAAACATTTCTAAATGTAATTGACTGTTGTGTGTCATACCAAACAAGTTGCTAGTTTTCAGGGTCTTGGTTAATAAGCATGTATCTTGAGCACAGAAAAAAAAATGATCAAACAACAACAAATGATTAAGTTGATTATCCTTCTATTACCACTATGCCTCATTTTTCTTCTTCAATGGGTTGTTCGGAAGATTTTGGTTGACTTACATGTTGATATAGATTGTCATGTAATTTATTAGCGCTATCCGTGAGTACACAGAGCTGTCATCTAGATGTATAAGCTATTAGAATTAAATACTTTAACAAAAGTGAGTCAATCTACATTGCAAGGGGTCGTTTGCTATATAAAAACCTGAGATGAGTAAAGGGGGGGGGGGGGGGGGGGGGGGTAGCTAGGATATGACCCCCCCCCCCCTTCTTGAAAATTAAATTGGGCTTTTTTGGCGGAAAAATTAAGAAGGGGATGAAATTTTTTAAAATCCATACAACAAAAACACCCCCCCCCCCCCCCCCTCTCAAAAAATTTCTAGCTATCCGGTCCCATAATAAATGCAATTCAAACCAAGAGTGCAGAACTGATAAATTACATTTCAAGATCATTTCATCAGGACCGTACCCTTGAATCAAAATTTATCCTAACTTTATCCAGGTTCGGAAACCAGGCGGTATTCCATACAAATACTTCCAATCCCCCCTCCCCCCCCCCCCCCTGGTTATGCGCCTGCCACCTGGTTTCCGAGCCTGGAACTTTATTGTCAAAATTTATCTTAAAGCTGTCCAATTCTTCCTGAACAACCTTTCTATAAAAGTCGATTATTATAAAAAAAATTAGATGAGCTTAATGATGCTTTATTCATTCATATGTGATGCCGCTAAATCAGCATAATAATAACTTATTTCTTTTCAGAAACAACAAAAAAAATATATATGACATGATGCCCTTTTACATAAAAATGCATTATAATTGTGTCTTTATGCGGAAATTGCTCTTTAATTTAGTATTGACATTGAAATTTACAGTGCTTAAGTTCAAGGTCTACATTGTGTATTAGCGCATACAATAGTTTTTTTTTCTTAGCCATTAAATCTCGCGTAAGACGAGCAGGTAGAGTTTCTCTCTTGCAAAACGTGCATAGATATAATCAATATGATTCCAACCTTTAATTCAGTGCTGTCCAAACTTCTTGAGCCACGGCACACATTAAGGGAAGGTCGCACACAGCATGTGTATTGAGTAATATAAACAAAAAATTCTAAACCACACCTGAGTGCCGTGACACACAGTTTGGACAACACAGCTTTAATTGGACGAAAACTGACGTTGCGGAGATTTTACATTCTGTACTTATAGTCTTGGTGACAAGAGTTGGTCAGTAATGAAATATAATTCAATTTATCTCAATTGAGCTGAGAAAGTCAATTTCTGATGCACAGAAAGAGATATTCTCCAAGTGACGAGACACAAACTCTCAAAACCAAACTCAATGGATGCTGGAGAAGATTTTCAAAGTTAAAATTAATTATGAATCATTTTTGGGCTACATATAAAGACATTCCATTGTGCTTTATCATGGAAGTTGTTTCCAAACGGATGTTGCAAATAAAAGTAGCGTAAAATGGAATTGGAAATTGAATATTTTTGGATTATTATAAAGAAATTCCAATGTAATAGGAATTCATGATTTTTATGGGAATTATTTAAAAGCTTTGATTGTCTGTTTTGGAGGTTGATGTGCTGAAAGTGATTTTATTGTGCTTTAACTAGTTCTTGGAATCGAAGAATTAGAACAGCTTATATTAAATTAAATAGTGATTAAGTTTCTTGAACTTTTTACTATATTCTCTTAATTAGTCAAACATCTTTTATTTAATTCTACTAAATGTTAAAGAATTTGCAAAAAAATACACACAAGTCAATGTCCGACTAATAAATGCAATTTTATCAGCAAGTCAAAAAAAATTATATTGCTTATTTACTTCCTTGGCTGGGGCGCACGTGGGCTCATTGCCGCGTTCAGAGATCGTCTAAAGACAGCTCTATCCTTCGAGACTTTCTGTTCAGGATATTAAGGACTCTAGCGTCCTTATCAACACATCCAATCCGGTCTTCCTCTAGATCTCTTGCCATCTATAAAGTCTGCAACAGTGTCTCTTAATACTGGGGCATCTTGTGGACGTCTAAACCCATGTCCAGCCCATCTCAAGCGATTTGCACAGAGAACCGTAATAATATTAAAATTTATATTGCTTAACTCGAATCGAAAACTTAAATTTTATCATTTTCTGTTCAGAAACCCTACAAAAATTTTGAATAATTAATTTATAATTTGTCTAATTTTAATGGTTTCTGTTGCGGAAGGATTTATATTCTTAAACTTTTCTTGCTAATGGTTGAACCAATTTTCAATGCTTAAACACAATTCAATTAAATAAATCAATTAAGTGTCATTAGACTCGGTTTAAAGATGAATTAAAAATTTGCAAACAATTTTCCAGTTTCAATGTTAAATAAATTAAAGCAGTTTCCTACCTTAAAAATTAGGTAGCTAGTTCTTGTAAATTTTGCATATTATTAAGCTTGCGAGGCTAATATTTTAGATTTAATTAAATGATTTTTCTATTTTACAACATTACACTTTCCTAATAATAAACAGCTCTTAGTCAGAAGTAGACTATTGACGTGTGTCAAGTTTTAAAAATAATTATTAAATGCTTGAAATTAAAAATTATGCAAGTTTCGAGAAGAAACCTCAAAAACAGTTTCATCACCAACCAGAAGTATCGGAAGCACCGCTATAGCTGAAGGTCGAATATGCATCATACTTGCAACCGGTGTAAAATGGCAACATTGAACAACTTTATTATTGTACTCTGGTGAAAGAAAGGCGTGGAAACTATCCCAAATATTCCATTTATCCCAAAAATCCAAAATAATCCCTGAGCCTGTATGCACGATAATAAAGATATCCAAACGTATCCTTAGTGTATTGGGCATTTAATCTTGGGATTCGATGAGATATCTCAATTTTAATGCATGCAGGCTCAGGGATTATTTTGGGATATTTGGGATAAATGAGATATTTGAGATAGTTTCCACGCCTTGGGTCGAAGTAATAAAAGTACGAAATCTTATGGACATGTTAGCTAATGACCAACATAGAAACTCTTTGGTGCACTTGAGAGCTGCAATGCCAAATCAATCAATGGATGCCCATTTCATGAAAATTAAATTAAATCATTTGTCTGCATTTTTCATTTTTATTTAAAAAAAATTGATTCATGATCACATTAATTTAGGAATCTAAATTAAAATTGGAAGTAAATTGGCAGTGTAATGATTATTACTTAATTTGAGCAGCAGAAGTGAATTAAGTAATAACACATCCAAGAACGCACATTGGTCATTTACCCACATTGAATGGCTTACTCATTGCTGAGGCCATTAACTCAACAGCTGATGATATTTACACAGCACTTGTTTGTTTATTTAAACCGTCGACTCAGATTCGCTTCCTCAAACGCATGAAGAATGATATTGTAAATTTTGTCACGTGCATTACGAGCGAATACAAAGTCTATGTGATTATAACTCGGTATGATCATGTAATGAACGTTTGGCAGTTGTCGTGCAACAAGGTCAGTGTCCTAAAATTATTAATTCACCTAAGCTTTTGTTCTATGAATCATAAATTGTACAATTCTCACCATCTTTCTAAATATTATGTCATATTGACCGACATAAAGATAAACTGGTGATGTAATTTTGTGTAGTGGATAATCTGGCGGCACTTTTGCTCCATATAGCTTTAAATTCTTTTCAGGGCCATAATCAAATGGCCGGAATTTACCTGTGATCATCGTTTGAGCATAATGTGTGACTTGTTGAATACCCGTGCGTGGTGATAATGTTGGAAAGATGGTTCGGTAAATGGCCTTGAAATGGAAAACATTAAGAATATTTTGTGTGTTAGAGGAAGTTTACAGTAACAGATTGTAGTAGAAGATAACAGCTTAGAATTATTGAGCACGTGTTGGAACTTAAGCTATCACACAAACAAAACTCACCGGATCTGTATTAGGCATAAATGGCATTCTTGGATCTCCTCCCAAAAACAAGAAGTTAAACAGTTGACAAAACCTCAAAGGCAATCCTTTAGTGCACAAAACATTACTAGTTCTTGTCCCAAACTTGTTTCCCGGCTCAAAATTAATGTATGGAAGATTGTTTAACATTTTTGCAAAAACCTAGGATATAAAAAAATAAGAAATTTGCATTAATTATATTTTTAAGAATCCGGGACATAAAAACTAGAGATGATCTTATCCCGCATTTTTTGCACGTGGAAACTTGATCATTCTCACCAGATAAAGAGGAGCCAGCTGCTTCACAGGAAACCGTGGATTAGCAAAAGCACCAGCTGTAGACATCAGGTGCGATTGGATGATTTTACGATTGTACTCTGGTCTCATTGATAAGAATACAAGCTCCTGAGTTGTGGCTTGACTGTGACCGACATAATAAACCTTATCACTTCCAGATACTTTCAATGTATAGTCAATTAGTGCTGGAAGATCGTACACACCCATTTCATGGAAACTGAACCTCCAATAATCTAGTGATTCAGTGTTAAGCCATTTGTGTGCTGTTGAGTATTTACTTCCACGAACATTTCCAAGGTACACGTCGTATCCTTCATCAGCAAAGTAAAATCCAAGGGAGATGTTTGGGGTGTTCAGGTAATATAATGAGTTTGAGAACGCAGAATGCATCAAGAATACAGGCTTCTTTGGTCCTTTGTTGAATCTTGGTGGGATTCTGTGAAGTCTCAAAATATATCCGTCTTCTGTAACAACCTCGTGTGCTGTGCACATGTATCCATGACTTTTAACAAAATTTGTAACTTCGTCATCTTTAAGTACATCTGATGATGTTGTACTAAATAGTGCTGCACAGACTAAAATGACTAGGATGTAATTCATCTTAATTAAACGTCTCCAATTGTTAAGCATCGACACCTGACTGAAATTTTATTTTTCGAAAGAGATTTTAAGAATCCAAACTTGTTTTCCATCATATCATCAATTGCAAACTTGTTTTATTCTTGTCTACTCATTAGTAGAATGTGAATATTTACACTTTTTTGCTATGGTATTGTCATAAATGCGTGATATCACGAGACTTTTAGGGGGTTCTAACTTTAAAAAATTGAGGAAAATTGACAGTTAAGTTTTTAAAGGCTAAATTTTTAATAAATTCTTTTCAAACCAAAACCCAAAAGATGAAAAAAATTAAGCTTAATGGAATATAATGCAAGATTTTTTAAAATTAAATTTCCATCAATATTTCTTGCACTTTTTCGACTTTCCACTTCTACTATATTCATCAGCAGCAGATACAATGTATTTATAAAGTTTATCACGAGCATCACGAGCAAAAACATAGTCAAGATGGTTATAATTAGGAATCATATAGTATTTCTTATTAGGAAGCTTAACTGCAACGAGATCGGCATCCTAAAAAGATGAAAAGCTTTGAAATAATTTTTTAATTAAATGTTTTAATTGCTTCAAACCTTTTTGCTGAACAAAGTGTCAAATTGACCTTCATAAATGTAAATTTCGGACGAAATTTTATGAAGAGGATAATCTGGTGGCTCAACAGCTCCATAAACCTGTAAATTCTTTAAAGTTCCATAATCATAGGGTCGAAATCTTTGGCTGAAAATTGTCTGAACCAAGTGCGTTACTAGCTGAACCGATGTATGAGGTGACAATGCTGGAACAATTGAACGGTAGACTTCCTGTGGAATATGAAAATTAATTATACATTTAGAAGCAATTAAAGTCATTTAATTCTCCTAATTTCTTTGACGACATGACTTAAGAAGGCTTTTCCTTAGTAACAATAAGGAAGGAGATTAATAGCACAAATCGGTTAATTAAATGCTAATCAGGCAAAAAGCTGGCATGACTCTGTGGGTCTGGTGCTAGCTTCGACTTAAATTCAGCACCATGCCAGAGACACATCAGCTTGGTGCTGGACAGAGCTCAAAGTCGACTCAACTCCTTTCATCGATTTCGAGCTCTTGTGCTAGATTTCTGATCGATAACCGACATTCGGGAGATTAATAAATTAAATCAAATTAATTAAGACTTAAATTCATTTTATAACAGTTGTGCAGGACATGGTTCACAATATTAAAATGCAAATTATGCAAATGCATGTCCTTGATCATCACAAAAATCATCTACAGCATTTAAAAATTGCAAATTCAAGTTTTTGTCGTAAATTTGCATTTTTTAGAATTTTTTGAATTTTAAATAAAATAATGCAATAAAAATTCTTAATGAAAAATATTCAATTCTTAATAGCCACGACACGTTTGTGCTACTTGAACAATTAAATGCTCGACAAGTCAGATTTTTCATATTTTAACATTATGCTTACCGCATCAGTATTTGTGATGAAAGGATTTTGTGGATTTCCACCCATTAGGAAAAAGTGAACGAGCTCACACATGTCTAAGCGAATGTTCTGAGTGCAAAATATATTGCTGATATACGATAAAAACTGATTTGGCATTTTGAAATCAGCATACGGAAGATCTCTTGCTACAGTGTTCTTAACAAGCTGGAAAATGAAACACAAAAAAAAATTTGCATGTCATGACATTTAATGCTGATTATTTACCATATAAAGAGGTGCTAGCTGTTTTAAAGCAGGTGGTGGATTTGCAAAAGCACCAGCAACACCCATCAAATGACTTTGAACAACTTTCTCATTATATTCTGGTCGAAGAGATAAAAAGACGAGATCTTGCGTTGAAGCTTGACTGTGACCGATATAAACGCACTTGTCACTTCCAGATAGTTCTAATGTGTAATCAATTAATGGTGGAAGATCATAAACGCCCATTTCATGATAACTGAATTGCCAATATTTTAATGATTCCGGATCTAACCATTTGTGAGCAGATGAATATTTACTTCCGCGATAATTTCCCATAAATACTTCATATCCTTCATCAGCTAAGTAAAGTCCAAGTGCAACATTTGGCGTATTCACCCAATACATAGAATTTGTAAATGCACAGTGCATTAAAAATGCTGGAATCTTGCATCCTTTATTATTTTTTGGATAAATCCTATGCAATCTCAAAATATATCCATCTTGTGTCACAACTTGATATGCACTAGCCGAGTATCCTAGATTCTTTACATATCTCACGACTTCGTCATCCCCGATTTGTTGGGAAAATATAAAGTTTAAATTTAAGCACACCAAAGTGAATAAAATGAATTTCATAATATTCAGTTGGAACGTCTCGCACTCTTAAAATTTAACATTCGACTGAAAGATATTTTTTTTTAGTCCACTGAAATGCAATATGGCATTTGAAATAAATAAATTAATTTGCATTATAGAATCAAAACGAGTCTTTATTCCTGTCCATACAACAGATGCTATGCTTATCCAATTTGATTTTAAAGCTTTTATTTGCAATTTTTTTGTCCTTTTAATATTTCGGAATCCGGGACTTGTTTTGATACTACACATTATTTTTGGGATAAAGATTAATAGTCTGGATAGCTGTTAGACTGTCCTTTAGAAGTATATAATGTGTTTGATGGTGGATTAATTTTAAGATGACCAGCGGTAAAGCTAGGAATTTTTCTATGAAAAAATCAAGGGTGTGGTACTGATAGAATGATCAAAAATGTAATTCTTCAGTTTCGCACCCTTGGAAAAATTAAGGGGAAAGGGAATAAATTTATTTATTTTTCGCAAAAAACCCCTGAAAATCCACCCGATCATCAACCCTTGGCCACACTGTGAGTGACAAGAGGGCGCGTAGCCATCGAGGAATGTGATTTGGGAGATAAATTCCTCTTCGTCAAGAGAAACTTCTTCATTTTGCTGGGGTTTTTAAGAAAACTCCATCCCTTAATTACTTACTTACTTCTCTGACCGTACAGATCAATTGTGATTTATGGCCTCCCTTTGATGGCGCCTGAAGTTGTCTCTGTCGCTAGCTACCGCTTGCCAATTATCAATACCAAGTGTAATATTGTCTCTGTCAACAGATTCTTTCAAGAGTTCTTGGAAACCCCATCTTCATCTCCCTTAATTTTCCAAACACAAATGTTTTTAAGCCCCTGCGACAGGACGTACTGGATCTATCACATCTAATTTCTGATTCTGATCTTGAATCTTAAATCGATTAAGGAACAGTCAAGCAAACATTTAAAATAAAAATGCGTTCTATTTACTTTATGAAATAGAATAAAAACTTCAATTTCTATTCCTTTTTATTCTGTTTTTTATGACCTTTCGCATTTAAATGTTATTTTTTGGCAACAATAATTTGCAATCTTGATATTTTGTGCTATGACAAATAGATTTAAGGAAACTATTTTTTTATATGATAGCTTTTTGTTATTGGAACTTTCTGGAATATGAAACATTATTTTTGATGCTGTTTTAAAAATATATTTTGATGAATATATATCGACATATTTATTTTATTTTTAATAAAAAACCTGAAATTTAAAGACAAATGAAAAAGAATTTTGTTCTTAATTTGCAGCATTTAAAAGGGGATTTTTATTGTTGACCATAAAAACTCTCAATGTCATAATAAAAGAAAACCCCCCAAAAAAAATCCCTGCAAAAATTTAGAATCGGGGATTTGAAGAACGTTTCAGGATCACATGATGTGCATTAAAAACTGGTTGTATCACGTTCCTAACGAAAATATAAAAACAAGATTACAATTAATATTCAAAAGTGAAAGGAGATGTGTCACTGAATGAAAAATTGTTATCCCAGACAAATGGAACCTGATTTTTTTTCAATATACGCAAGAAAGTTTTGATTTAAAAAAATTGCTAGCTTTGTTTTGATTATTTTTTTTTTATCTCGATCAATAAAATAAAAATAATTCAAATTTCACTACAAAATTTACCTATTAAAATTATTTTCTACATTTTTGAATTATTTCATTTTGATACTCTTGATTGGCTTTCTCAAATGCTCGATGCATAACTTTATAAATCCTTTTTGGTGCATCTCGTGCAAATATGTAGTCGATGTGATTATAACCAGTTATCAACATATAGTGTGCGTTCGGTAGCTGCGGTGCGAGAAGTTCAGCGTCCTGAATTTAAAATAATCAAACAAAAATTATTAAGTTAAAATCTGCATTGACCGACAAAATGAACAAGAATGCTTAGGGGCGGTTCACTTATGACGTCCTAGGGCGAGGGTCAGCAAGAAAAAAACAATAGAAATGCCTGTAAATCCATTATTCTTTTTTGAAATATGACCGTTTATTTTTGACGTCATAAGTGAACGACCCCTTAAGTAAAATTCCTGAATAAAGAAAAATATTGATTTCCATCTAATTGGAATTGTTTGAAGGATCATGTAATGACTCAGAAAATGTTCCTAATTGCCACATAAAAATAAAATTTAGTCCCAGAGTTGGAACCTGTCATAGGTTGCCTCCTTTTTGACAGGTAACCTGCTAACAGGCCACATGTTGACAGATCTGTCACAAATCTGTGCATTAACAGGTGACCTGTAAAACAGGTGGCAGCCTGTGACAGGTGATCTTTTGACAGGTCCCTGTCGTTGAAACTCTGTTTAGTCCTCATTTTACCTTTTTTGTAAACACTCGATCGTATTCACCAACATAAAGGTAAACTTCTGATGAAATATTTTCCAATGGATAATCTGGTGGCTCTACTGCTCCATAAATTTTCAAATTGTCTTTAGTTCCATAATCAAATGGTCGGAATCTGCCACTAATCGATGACTGAATGTAATGCATTAGTTGCTGAACACCTGTACGACGTGATAGTGTTGCAGCAATGGTTTTATGGACATGCTTGAATTAAAAAATTAAAGGCTTGTTATTGCCTGTGCTGATAGTTGAAGATAGTTGATTGTGACAAAACTATTCATCTAAAATTGACAATTTCAATCTGAAAAGTACTCACCGGATCAATATTAGGTTTAAAGATGCTCATTATGGATCCACCTAAAAGAAAAAAATGAGTCCATTGACATATCGGGAGCGGAAAATTCTTATAGCATGTAAGTTGGTTTGATAGGTCCGCAAAACTGTTTCCCGGTCCGAAATTCACGTATGGAAGATGGATTGAAATGGGTTTAATCAGCTAGAAAATTAATTTAATTATTTACTATTTAATAACCGTGTTTAATAAAAATTACAGGATACACGAATGCCAGCATCTTTGGTATTCTTGCAGGGTTCTTATAAGCTCCAATACTACCCATCAAATGACTTTGAATTATTTTCTCATTATATTCTGGTTTTAAAGCCAATAATACTAAAATTTCAGTAGTAGATTGACTATGACCGATATAAAAAATCTTATCACTTCCAGATATCTCCAATGAATAGTCAATCATTGCAGGAAGATCATACAATCCCATTTCATGATAACTAAATCTCCAAAAATCGATTGACTCTGTGTCATATGTTTTATGATGTATTGAGTATTTACTTCCACGTGAATTTCCCATAAACACTTCATATCCTCGGTCAGCAAAATAAAATGCGATGGATATATTTGGCACATTTACGTAATAAAATGAATTCGAGAATGCTGAGTGCATTAAAAATATTGGAATTTTACATCCTTTGTTACTTTTTGGTTCAATTCTATGTAATTTTAAGAAATATCCATCTTCTGTCTCAACTTTATATGCTTCTGATTTATATCCTTGTTCTTTAACCCATTTCACAACTTCATCATCTTTAACTCTTTTTGATGATAATAAACTAATTTTTAAGAAAATAACAAAAATTATTAAAATATAATTCATCTCATCAAGCACGTCTTTTGCTCTTAAATATCAAAACTTGACTAAATCTAGTATGACTCAGGATGCATTTAGAAGTCTATTTCATGTTGGAATATTGATAAGTTTTTTTAAGACATTTTATATCAGTCTGGCTGAGTTTTTTGTTATTTATTATTCAATGATTGTATTTTATTTCCGTATTTTGTGTAAAATATGCAAACTTTTACTAAGATATTTTTTTTTGAGCTAAGGTTAGTGTTGCAGTCGTACAATCTTTGTTTATCAGAATTTACAATCTTGCAATCAATGATTTTTTCTTCAATTTTATGCTTGGAAATTGCGCTTTCGTTGGTCACATGAGATCAGGACTAGTCAGGGGCTTAGCAAGGAATTTGAAGAAGGAATGGGGTCACAAAACTTATTATTTTCTTAGAAAATCCTGAAAAATGAAAAATTTCTGTTGACGTTGGATATTTGTAACCCAACCTAACCCCCATACCCTTGCCATGTTGGCTAAGTGCCTGAAACTACAATTTAATAAAGATATTTAAAAGTTCATTTTTCTGCAATTTTTAAAACAAATTAAATCGATCTTTATTTTAGAAATATTTATTGTTTTTTTAATTTATTCACTATTTTCATGTCCATTCAAGATTATAAATCTAAAGCATCATACAAACAAAAATTTAAGTTTAAAACCTATTAAAATTATTTTCTACATTTTTGAATTATTTCATTTTGATACTCTTGATTGGCTTTCTCAAATGCTCGATGCATGACTTTATAAATCCTCTCTGGTGCATTTTGTGCAAACAAGTAGTCGATGTGATTATAACCATTTATCAGCATATAGTGAACGTTCGGTAGCTGCGGTGCGAGAAGGTCAGTGTCCTAAATTTGAATAAAATATAAAAAAAATTATAAATTTAAAATGTTAAATTTACATTAACCGGCATAGCCGGTGAACAAGGATGCTTAAGTGAAAACCCTGAATGTGTCAGAAATGATTTAAAATTATTGATTCTCTTCTAAATTCAGGCCATTAATTGCAAGGATCTTACGATGGCTTAAAAACTTGTTTCTTATTTTGTAAGAAAATTAGCATAAATTCACAAACTGAGTGATCGAAATGATATTTTCTTAGTGAACATTTCATAAATGACGTCTGAAAAATAACGGAAGTTTTGTCTCTGACTCATTCTGTGACTTAAATCTTTCATCATTAAAATTGACAAAAGTATTTTTTAAGGAATATAGAGGAAATTGCCTCAAGCTTTTGGACACCTCATTTATGAAAGACCCCAAATTCAAACTGCTTTACTGGTCAATAAGCTGCAATTAAATTTAATCCATACCTTTTTAGAAAACACTCGATCATAATCACCAACATAAAGGTAAATTGCTGATGAGATATTTTCCAATGGATAATCTGGTGGCTCTACTGCTCCATACATCTTCAAATTGTCCTTAGGTCCGTAATCAAATGGTCGGAACCTTTTACTGTTCGTAGTTTGAACATAATGTAATAATTGCTGAACACCTGAACGACGTGAAAATGTTGGAACGATGGAACGATAAACAGCCTATAAATAAAGTATATAAGGACAAGGTTGACAAATTTTGAATCTAGACTGATCTATGATTTGGCAATTCTAGGTAATAAATCCAAGCGACAAAAAGTTTAAGTTGACATAATAGCGACACCTTGTTGAAATTCTCAGCCTTTACATGGCTGCCTTATGACTCGTGGCAACATCAAGGCAACACTATTTTGAAACGAGTCATAAGGCAATCTTGCGGACGGAGAAATTCAACAAGGTATCGCCAGGATATCAACATAAACTTTTTGTCATAAGGGATGAATGCCTACATTAGTGTTGTCGAAACTGTGTGCCACGGAACACATAGGTACCGTAAAATTTTTGTAAATGACATAACCACATGCTGTTTGCGACTTTGGTTACGGCCTGACCTTAAAGTGTACTATGGTTCAAAAAGCTTAGAAAACACTGGTCTAGAGCCATAAAACTTAAAGCCATAATTTTCAGTACTCACCGGACTAATGTTTGGCATAAAGATGCTGTTTGGATCGCCACCCAAGAGTAAGTAATGAGACAAATGACATAAAGCTAATGGAAAATTTTCTGTACACAAAACTTTGTTTGCCATTGCCGCAACTCTGTTTCCTGGTCCGAAATTCACGTATGGGAGATGAATTGCTATATCCTTAATTAACTAGAAGATGAAAAAAAAAAACAATTTAATAAATTTCACCTGAATTTGTTGTCAATTCTTACTGGATAAGTAGCAGCTAGCATCTTTGGAATCCTTGGAGGATCTGTATAAGCTCCAATGGTTCCTAACAAATGACTTTGAATAATCTTTTTGTTATATTCTGGTTTAAGTGCCAACAATGTTAAAACTTCTGTAGTGGCTTGACTGTGGCCAATGTAAAATATTTTATCACTTTTTGATAGCTTCAACGAGTAATCGATCATTGCTGGTAAATCATACATTCCAATTTCATGATAACTAAACTTCCAATAATCTGTTGATTCTGTGTCGTATTTCTTATGATGCGTTGAATATTTACTTCCACGTGAATTTCCCATAAACACTTCATATCCTCGGTCAGCAAAATAAAATGCGATGGATATATTTGGCACATTTACGTAATAAAATGAATTTGAGAATGCTGAGTGTTTTAAGAACACTGGAATTTTGCATCCTTGATTGTATTTTGGAGCTATTCTATGTAATTTAAGGATATATCCATCTTTTGTCTCAACTTTATATGCTTCTGATTTATATCCTTGTTCTCTAACCCATTTCACTACTTCATCATCTTTAACTCTTTTTGATGATAATAAACTAATTTTTAAACAAATAACAAAAATTATTAAAATATAGTTCATTTTATCAAGCACGTCTATCGCTTTTAAGATTCAACGCTTAACTGAGTCCATTGAATCATTTCAATGTGCATTTAGATCTTCTTTAAAGAAATTTGCATTTCACGAATTTTGATAAGTTTTTTTACTGTCATCTCAGACTGGTTCTATTTTTTGCTGCTAAGTGGTCAATGATTACAATGAATTTACGCATTTGTTGATATGCAAATTTTTTCTAGGATTCAAGAGTTTTTTTTCTCATGCTGTTTTATTAAAATATCAATTTTGGTAATATATTAGTTGTCTGGTTTTTCAAAGGAAAGCAAAATTTTGTTTGATGATATTTGCTGGTTTTAAATCAATAAATGGGCAATCTTTTTTCATTCACACAGTTTTGGTTGAAGCCATGACAAAACTTCATACAGTTCATGGGATTTCTCGAATTCTTTCACGACATATGAATTAGACATTACTGCTTTAAATGAAAAAGATTAAACTAAAGTACAGGGGGTCCTCAATTTGAGTAGGTGTGGTACAATAGATTCTGTTCTAATTTGAGTCGCAGTGCCTCCAGCTGAAAGGCTGGGCCCTTCACACATTGTTATTATTCATTAATTCTCGTTACTCAAATCGAATCTATTCAAATCGAATCTACTCAAATCGAGGACCCATGGTATAGAAGAGGTCATTCTCAGGTCTCTTATCACTCATAAATAAAAGTTCAGAAACTTTTACAAAAAGTATTTTCTTCATTTTGTATTTCGGTTTTAAAGATGGTGATTAGTTCCTATTGATTCATTGTTAATCTTCGGTCTTGATGATTATATTCTTGCTTGATTAATGAAATGTGATCCTTAATTGAATAATAAAACACAGCAGATAGTCAGCCAAATATTACGTTATTTATTCGATTATTGAATATTTAATTTTACAACAAATCTCATCTTGAATGTCTTAATAGTTAATAAAAACAAACCAGAATAATCAAATCTTTGCAAAAATACGGAAGACAAATTTTATGTTGATAATATGAATACTGGTGAATACGATGACTCCTTTTTATTTAATTCTATTCACTGTCTTATCGTCAATGAAAATATTGATTCCAATGTTGCGAGTCAACTTAAGATTAATGATTTGATTCATAATTTAATCCTGAAACATAAATTCATTGCCACTAGTGTTGTGTCTGACCAAAGTCGAATCTCGGGGATCAAACTATAAATAGCTGAATCTGCTAGTGCGAGAGTCAGACTTATGTGCCACGAGTGGTTAGGCAAGAACTAGATATCTCTAATCCTCTTGTGAGGACGTGGGTTTGATTCCCATCATAGACCGATCTCTAAACCATTATGTAGGGTGTTGTCGATATCACAAGGATTCGTACAATTTTGCTTAAAGACTTCGATTCATATGTGCTTAACTCGAATGGCACAAATTGATTAATCGATCAGAAATCTAGCAACAAGCCTGTGTGACTCTTGTATGATACTTGATGTAAATTTAAGCTAGAACCATGCCGGCTGAGTGCAAGATTTCTATTTGATTAACCGACCCGTAATTCATGCCCTTGTTGATGTCAGATTTACAGTCATTTTTAAGCTGTGTGTCTTTCGGGCGACTTGTGCCGTTCGGGTAAGAATTTTAGAGTGTAGAATCTATTGTTTAAGATGGAACTTGAACTTCAATGTCCAAAAAATTGTTGTATTCAGCACATTTAATAACTGAAAGAAAAGCTGTTACAACTTCATTAAAAAGTCGTTAAGTAAGATTGCACTTTTATTTCATTTGACTCTATTAAAATACTAAATACTTGATTTTAACAAAAATTGCAGCATGTCCTTGTACAAAAGTTCTCTTGCATCCTTTCCCAACATCATATCAATATGATTAAAATCAGGTATAACTCTATAAGCTTGCTGATGAGGTAATTCTTGTGAAAATCTATCAATTCCACTTTTGTCCGTCAATATATCTTGTTCAGCATGATAAAGATAAGTTGGAGCAGTGACATTTGATAAAATATATTCCGGTGGTGTTGATGAGCCATAAATAGTTTGATTTTGATCTTTATGATCAAATCTTTGAAATTTACCGGTTTGATAGAGTTGAAGGTAGTGCATTAACTGCTTTTTGCTGACCTTCGGCGACATAAAGTGATTAAAGGCTTTGATCGCTTCCTGTGAATTTCAAATGTGCATTTTTTATTTTGTTGAATTTTTATTAAAGCAATAAATCAAATTTTTGCATAGATTGAATTATAATTGGTCAATGTATCTACTTACCAATGACAATTGCACTTCCTTTTTGTTTTGTCCTACAAATTTGCACGTGATTGATTTGTAAATTTTAATCATTTTTTCTGGATTTTCGCCATTTCGTTCTGATAGCTTCTTAATCAGTTGGAGAATCGGTGTGATGTCGATAGTGTCCAAATATTTTGATAATATTTTCTGAGAATAAATTAAATGTCTTGAATTGATAATTTTGCGAATGTGGGTAGAATAAAGCTACTGTCAATAACCTCAAAATGGCCATGATAACCGTTTTGAATAATCAGATACGATTTTTGCAGCTGATGCGATTTTTGAGCGGAATAATTTTTGTTGTGATAACATTGACTTTGCAAAGGCACAGATCAAGGAGAAGTTTAGAACAACATTTATAAAAGACAGATGGTCATCCTTGATAGAAGCTACAATTCAGGATTCTTAAGGTTTAAAAACAAACAATTAAAATCTGAATTTTAATTATTAACCGGAAACTTTTGTAGAATCACAACATGAATGCCATCCAAAAGAGTTTATAGCCACATAATTTTTGCAAATATTTTCATTAAAATAAAATTAATTATGCAAATAAAATCAAAAAATGATTTCCGATAGTTTTCAGACGGCATTAAAGTCACTAAAATCATTTTTTATTGAAACCTCCAAAAATACTCACAAATATCGCCCTATTCCAAAAGCTAAACGCAATTGTAGTGGCGCCATTCATAAACACAGCCGGTGCCATTAGATGCAATTGTGATATAAATTTGTTATATTCAGGCCTTGATGCCAACAATGCTACAGCAGTCGTACAACCTTGCGAATGTCCAATGTAATTAACTTTCGATGAATTACTTTTATCAATCGCAAAGTCGATCATGGCTGGCAAGTCGTAAAGTCCAATCTCTTCCCACGAGAAATTCCAGAAATGTTTCGAGTTGTAAGGATGTTTTACATGTTCTTGACAATATTTTGAGCCTCTAGCATTGCCTAGATAGCAATCAAAGCCATTATCTGATAATAAATAAGGAAGAGCAACTTTTGGTCCAGTTGCGATATAATCTGCTGAATTCCTGAACAATCCATGCATTAAAAAGACTGTTCCTTTATATTCGACATTCTTTTTTGGTAGAATTCGATGAACAGTCAGATAATATCCATCTTGAGTCTTAACTTGGTGCCTTTCACCTTTATAACCTGACTGACTGATCAGCTTTGTTACTTCATCTGATTGTCGAAAAATATTGTTCGAGAAAATATTCCTCACAAAACTATTTGTGCTTAAAAATTTCACTTTCATTTCTTATTTTTTTGCTGATTTTATTATTGACAAATAAATAAATTAACTTGGCAAAGTCCAAAAACAAATAAAAACCTTAAAAATAAAAACATTTCTCTGAGCGAGAAACTGAGAAGATCAAGAAGTAAAGTTTGAGCATAAAAATTTGAGAGCTGCTGACTTTTTGTTTCTCTCCGTCATATGTTTTACGAATGACCTTGTGATAAGTGCCATAAAAAAATGTGAAAACGTGAATCGAAAAAAAGTTTATTGGCATTTTTTTGGGTGTTCATTCATTCTTGTGCAGCTTGACATTCAAAAGTTTTTATTCATTTTGTTGCATAGACTTTAAAATGTAGTTGAATACAATTTTGCGGGAATGTAGTCCATAGTTGAAGTCACAATGGTTGTAGTTCCGTATTGTTCGGTGTTGCTTTACATTCGGAAGTACTTCAGCGAGTCGTGTGATGTCCTAGGATTGGATATTTTAAGATTATCTGAATGACATAATGACATTGAAGTTGAATCAATAAAGTAATTACCTTTTCAGCTACAAGTGAATCGTCCTTTCCGCTATAAATGTAAATTGGTGCGATTACATTCTTCAAATTGTACTCAAGTGGAGATGATTGACGATAAATTACTTTGTTTAATGATTGATAATTATACTGCTGAAATTTTCCACTCTGTAATTTGGAAAAATGATTTTTAATTAGCTACTAAGTAAAGTTAAAGGGATATTGACAATTAATTTTGGATTTTAATGGTTTTTTAGAAATTAAATGGTTAGAATTTAAAACGACTGGCTGGACTGGGTGGACTCAATTCGAGTAGATGCCCTTTTTCTTCATGATTCTCGAATTTGAGTACACACGTCGGTTAATCGAATAGAAATCCTGTACTAAGCTGGCGCAACTAAGGCATGGTCTGGAGACGAACGAACGAACGAACGAACGAACAAAGTGAATTATTAAGCTACCTTTTCGAAACAAGTTTCAAAAATGCGCTAAAAATCTAGAGTAGTAAAGTCAATACTCACATGATAAAGCTGAAGAAAATGATGCAACTGCTTCGTACTAACAGAATGTGCTAAATGCTTGATCAGCGTTGGTACGACTTTTGGATCATATTCAGTTCCATTAGCATTGTAACCGCAAACCATAAGGAAAGCATTTGAGCACGCTCCAAAAAATAAAGAATTTGGTTGACATAAAAGTCCAGCCACAAAGTCAATCAGCTTCATGATTTGTGTGGTTGATAGGAAGTCATATGCTTGATATTTCTCGACAAAACTGTTAAATTCACTTGACAGAAATCTTATGAATGGATTTGGGAGATTATTCATGAATACAGCTGGTGCCAAAAGATGTGCTTGAATTACTTTTGAATTATATTCAGGTCGAGTAGACAGCATGACCATTAATGATGTTGCACCTTGAGAATGTCCAACATAATATCCTTTAGATGAATTTGTAGTTTGCAGCATAAAATCAAACATTGCAGGCACATCATAATGTCCAATTTCATGAAATGAAAAGTTCCAATACTGCTTCGATTGCGAACTCAAGGTTTTATGCCCTAAGCTGTGGTCATTTCCTCTAGAATTTCCCAACCAACAATCGTATCCATTGTTCGAGAGAAGAAATGCTTGTAAAAAAAAGTTGTAAAGATTGGTCAATAAAAACAAAAGGTGAACCTCAAATAATTGTAAATTAATTTAAATCTTACGTAATGCTGTATTAGCTCCAGTCATGAGGTAATCAGCTGCAGTAGCAAATAAGCCGTGCATAAAAAATACTGGACTTAATGGCTGTTGTGTTTGCGCGCGATTTTTTACTGTAATTCGATGAAGTTTGAGACGATAAAAATCATCTGTCTCGACTTCGTATGATGAACTTGAAAATCCAGCTGTGTGAATCAGTTCTTCCTGTGGAATTGGAGGATTTGTTTTCAAACTTTGGAATGGAATTTAAAACTTGAAGAATTCAAATATTATGATGGCGAGAGTTTAAGATGTAACTAGAACTGTGATTCAGGCTTCTGTGATTTTAGAGCTGTGAATAATCTATTACAGTGATGCACAACCTTTTTTGTGCGACACTTGATGAAAAGCCATGACCAAAGTCGGGCACAGTATTCGGTTCTTGGGATATCTCAAAATTTTTCACAACACTAATGTCCCGTGGCACACGGGTTGGCCATTCCTGATCCACAAGATGCAGCTTGCATATATGTAAATCCAAAAAAGATTTCTTTAAACAATTACTGACTATAAATGATCATGAACAGCACCAAAACATGACTTTTTGATTAATAACAGTCTAAACGATGTCGCTTTGACTAAACTGATGCTAAAATAACTGTAGCTATGCTTAATAAGGCTCAAACCATACAAAAGTCAATAAAACTATTCGCCCGCCACAACACTAGCTCAACATTTTTAATCAAAATTTCACCAATCGCCTCCAAATCATTCACATCTTTTCCACTTGACCATCAGAATTCACGTCATACTCACAACATCATCTCTTTGCACTTTCCCATCGACAAGCGAGCAGAGCAAATAAATTTGAATAAATATAAAAACTTTAGCACCAAACATTTTCATTTCTGTCATATCGATGAGCTGAAGATGGACTGATGAATTCAGCTGAATACAAATCAACTTACTCTCTGCAACCATCCACAGAAAATGTATTCAAAATTTGGGCTTAATTCATGTTTAATTATTAGAGTCATTATACATGCTGATAATCTTTATTGCCTTTTGAGAATTTCGAAAAAAAAAGTTTTTTCTTTCTGACTTTTTTTTATTTAACTATTCATTTTTGAATACTTTTATGCTTTGTTATTGCTAAAATGAAAATTAAATGCTGCTTAGTTCCACTTCATAAAAGAAATGTTTTTTTATAGGCTAGCATTTACATGACGGTTTACATCGAGAGTCAGGCGCGTAGACAGGGATAGGGGGTGGGACAAATCCCCCAACGTAAACAGAAATTTCTTTATTTTGCTAGGGTTTTTATGAAAAAATGGAAAAAATCACAAAAATCCCCCCCCCCCCCTCTTAAATTTTTCCATACAAAAAATTTTTTGCCCCCCCCCTCCCCCTCTTCAAATTTTTGGCTACGCCCCTGTCGAGAGTGAAAATTGATATGAATATGTAGAAACAGTTCATTAATGACGGCTTATAATAACATTTAGATGGGAAACAGGGGTACAAGAGGGGAAATGGGGGATTAAGCTTCATAAACGCACTTTATTTCATTCATTTTCTTTGAATTTGTTACGAGTTAGAAGTCGATTTTTATCGATTTTGTATGTCGGAATCGACTCGACCAAATATAAAATTTCATCAACATCAAACTCTTGTTTTGCTGACTTACTATTTCAGAGAAAGATATCGTCAAACTACTTAGGTCAGTGTTGCCCAAACTGTGTGCCGCGACACACAGGTGTTCCGTAGACGCAAGTGATGCTGCGTGCGGCTTTAATCATGGCTTTCTCCTATAGTGTGCCATGGCTCAAAAAAGTTTGGGCAACACTGACTTAGATGAATTATCAAAATCTCTTGTGCATTCCATAAAAACGCGTGAAACTCATCACTTTAAAGCTTGTAGTTTTTATTATCACGTTTTCATCATAAAGTCATTAATTATCGATTTATTATCAATTATAGTTGAAGTTGGTCTTCCTTGTTATCCTTTACACATCACATTAACAACGATCCCAAGCAAGACGTGGAACCTATCCCATTTATCCCATATATCCCAAAAATATTCAAAATAATCCCTGAGCCTGTATGCATTAGAATTGAGATATCCCATTATATCCTGAAATTACACGTAGGATACGTTGGGATATCTTTATTATCGTGCATACATGCTCAGGAATTTTTTGAATATTTTTTGGATATGTGGGATAAATATGATATTTGGGATAGTTTCCACGCCTTGATCCCAATTCTAGAAACTTAAATGAAATTCCTTCTTATCCACCAAAAAGATTTGACACATATCCAACAAAATCAAGTCCATCATTAGTCATTGCTCTGCTAATTTCATTGTACAACACTTCCTTTCCATTTCTACTTAACAACAGATCATAATGATTGAAGTTTGGAATAAGTCTGTAGAATTTTACCACTGGTGCCAAAACGTTTCTCAATCGTTCTACGTCCTAAAATAAAATTATTTGACATTAGCAATATTTTTGTGAGGGATTGTTTACAAATGATGTTCATAATCTAGAGAATGGGAGGGAATCGTTCACAAATGATGTTTTAAATTTAAAGAATGGGACGTGACCGGGTACAGCTTTTCAAATTTTAATATAAAGTTGGAGGAAGGTAGGTTAGAATGTCAATACTGGGACAGAATCACAGTCCATGGTTGGAACATGCAAGAGAAAAGACACCAAGGAGCTCCAAAAGCTACTTAACGCAACACAGTGATGAAAGAATGTCAGCTTAATGTGGGGACAGACAAATTGTACAAACAAGGTGTAAAAGCCAGCTGAAGATCCTTTTGCGGTAACCTAAGCTCCACATAGGACCATGGTTTTAGTAAGCAAGTAAGAAGAAAGGACGTCATTTGTGAATAGGGTTTCTGAAAAACGGCATTTTCGAAAACGGCCGTTTTCCGTTTTTTATTTTCAAAAACGGCCGTTAACGGGCCGTTTTAAGTTTTTTAAATACCCAAATATAAATGAAATATTCCTCAAAAGATAAAGAATTGCTGTGCTATATAGATAATATGTAGAAAGTCTTAAGTTCTATTTATATTTATTATAACTATTTATTCATTTTATTATAATAGAACTTAAGAAAAACAAGAGCATTTAGTGATGCATCAGCCAGCCTTGAACGAATCTTTGTGCAAAAATTATTGCAGATTGAAAATATTCGCTCTACATCTGTAGAAGTCGGCTTAATACACAACAAAGCATCATAAAGTTTTTGAAGATTTTCCGATCGATTTCCTGTATTTTTCATAAAAATTGATAAAAATCAAATATGAAAAACCCGTTGTAAATTTTTGAGTTCAGATTTTGATTTGTTGTATTTAAACAACAAACAAAACTGGACTCGCAACTATGATTACATTTCTGATTCTAATATACTACTTGAAATGAGATTTTCAAACTTTCCAGGCAATCCATAATAATAAATCTCAATTGCAAAAACTTTTAACTGTTTTTGAGAATAATTTTTAAAAGAAATAAACAAAAAAAATTTTTAAAATTACATTGTATGAACTATGAGAAAACGGAAAAACGGAATGAAAAACGGCCGTTTTCCGTTTTCAATTTTTGTGCCGTTAACGGCCGTTTTCCGTTTTTCGTTAACGGCTTCAGAAACCCTATTTGTGAACAATCCCTCACAATTTCTCATATTTTCTTACCAATCGAGAAACCATTAAATCCTCTTGTGCATGATAAATATAAACAGGAACTTGAACATTTGTAAGCACATATTCCCTAGCTTTATTCCGTCCCTGATAACTTTGAAACTTCCCCGACTGATAAATCTGCAGAAAATGTAAAAATTGTCGAACACTCGCAGTCGGTGACACAAAATTGGGAACATCAAGGAGAACTTTTGGATCAATTTCTGTTTCCTCTCGGTTCCTTCCGAACAGAAATTCCCACAATTTAATGCAATACTTCAATCCACCTGGAATTGTACTTGCACAATAATTATCAACAACAAGCTTAGTAAAATCAATCATCGAGAAAAAATTGTAGTTCCGTAAGATTTTACTCGACTCAATGTACTCATTGGCACCAAACGATAGAATCGGATGTGGATAATCCATAAAAGCAATTGGAGCAAGAAAATGAGCTTGAATAATTTTTTTATTATAACTCGGTCGCATTGATAGCAAAGTCAAGAGTGCTGTTGCTCCTTGATTATGTCCTACGTAAAATACAGCTGGCTTCTCTGTCAAAAAGAGAATGTAATTGATGAAGGCTGGTAAGTCCTGTTGTCCAATTTCATCGAAGCTAAAGCGCCAAAATTCACGCGAAAGTGGATCGAGGATTTTGTGCTTCATTGAGAATTTACTTCCACGGACATTTCCAAGAAACACATGATAACCCTGATTTGCTAGTTGATAAGCTAGTGCAATGTTTGGTCCGGTAATTACAAAGTCTGCAGATGTACCCAAGAATCCATGAATTAATAAAACTGGACCTCTTCTAGGTCGATTCTGTTTTGGGAAGATTCGATGCAATTTCAGTAAATATCCATCCTCAGTCTCCACTTTATGCAGCTCATTTTCGTACCCGGCTAGTGATATTAAATTAATCTGAATGTGACGAAATGTTCAAATTAAAATAAAGCGTGAAATTGTTATGACCATTTTGCATAAACATACCACACTATCTTGACGACCAGTCATTAATCCAGATTGACAGTTTACGGTGCTTAAGGTCATTAAAATTATAAACAGTTTCAACATTTTTATGGACATTGTTTTTTATTTACTACTCTATGGTTTGATGATGAATGGAGTACGATGAATATTCAAGAATAATATTTAAGCTGAAGCTTTAAATTGATGCTTATCTTTGATGATTACCAAAAAATTTGGGGTAATTGTTGTGAATCCCAGTAAAAATTCGTTTATAAATTAGGTTCATCATAAATTTTGATTGTTTGCTGTACGACTTAATGCAGCATAGCTTAGTGTCACAAAGCTGGATTCCCTTAGTAGCAGTGGTGCTCAACCTATTTTGAGCTATGGCACATTTTGATGGTAAGGCATGACTGAAACCGCAAACGACATACGGTTTGTGGTATTTTCAGAATTTTTCTCGGCACACTAGTCTATATAGTTAACTCAATCGTGTGCCTACACGGAATATATATGGTCAAAAATGAACAGATTTCACTTAATCTAGCGTAGAACCGCGTTCATGCCATCCTGATGCCACTTTTTCAGCCATATTTATGCTGTGTATCTTCTGGGTAAGCGTCACTTATGAAAAACTCTGTATGCATCTACTTTACTATTGAGGTGAATGACGACATCAAAAGTTAAAGTTTAAAATTAAACCTTAAAATGGCAAAGCCCAATAGCTTAGTAGTCTGAGCACTTGACCGGCAATCGAGAGGTGCGAGGTTCGATTCCCGCTTTGAATGAACCAGGGGCGTAGCCAGGAATTTGAAGAGGGGGGGAGGGACAAAAAAATTTTTTGTATGGAAAAATTTTACGTGTGGGGGGGGGAGGGTATTTTTGTAATTTTTCCATAAAAACCCTAGCAAAATAAAGAAATTTTTGTTTACGTTGGGGGATTTGTCCTTTGCGCCCCAAATCCCCCCCCCCCCCCTTGCTACGTGCCTGGGATGAACCATTGGGTGAATTTTCATTTTCTCAACTTTTTGCAAATTTTTTGATATTTTCAAAATTTGCATTTTTAATAAAAATCTCAAAAATCAAAAAACAAATTTTATAAATTCAATTTTTTTTTATTTCATTAAAAAATCGTTCGCGTAAAAAATTTTCATATTTTTCTCCTTAAAAATTATTTTGATTTATTTTTTAAAATTTATTCTCATTTCTTTTCAGTTTTTTATTGACCTATCTATAAAATCTTAAGGCTTAATAAACATTTACAAAGTCACTTTATTTCATCTAAAACTTCTCAAAAAAATTAAATTCTTAAAAACTACTTAAAATTCATTAATCTAGTATAATTAATTTCAATATAATTAAATTCAATGTAAACTATCTAAACAATAAGCTAATCCGTTGTGGATGGTGAGTGATGTGAGTTCATTTTGATGGTAATTCAATTAGGCGCCTTTCACTTATGACGTCCAGGGGGGGGGGGAGAGGGGGGTCAGCAAGAAAAGAACAATAAAAATTCAATGGAAATTCATTGTTCTCTTTTGAAAAATGACCGTTAATTTTGGACGTCATAAGTGAACGATCCCTTGATAATTCTTGAAGTAAAATCTCATCCCAACCACATTTCGGATATATAATGTCATTAATTGTCTTTTCTCATGAAAGAATGGAAGGATCCCGAATAGCACATGTCGGTTAATCGAATAGCAATCTGGCATCAAGCTGGTGGAACTGTAGCATGATGCTGCTTTCAAATTGTATGCATCACCATCCCAGAGTTACTTCAATTTCTTGCCTTTATTCTATTCAATTAAATGACTTGTGCTATTCGCGGGATTTCTTATTGCAGAATATAAGAATGGACATGAAATGCACTCAAGTGATTGAAGTGTCTTATTAAAACATAAACTATGAACTATAAACGAAACATAAAATTGTTTTTCTTTTTTTGTCATATCACATTTTTTGTTATTTCTTAAAGTTTTAAAAAATATTGTTTAATTAAAGTTTTGTGTTCGCCACAAAAATTGGTGAAAGTAAAATTTGGTGGACTATACTTTTGGAGCTCAGGAGGTGTAATTTCAGGATATGATGGGATATCTCAATTCTAATGCATAAAGGCTCAGGGATTATTTTGAATATTTTTGGGATATATGGGATAGTTTCCACGCCTTGGTCTTCACATTCCCCCCATCAGTCTCCTATAGTCCAGTAAAAGGCTTTTCGTCTCTTTAAAGGCTTAATTTCCATGAACACATCTTAATATTATTTTCAAAATTCCCTAAAATTCTGTCTCAAGTGGCTGACTATGACTTCTATTATCAGCAGATAATAAATTAATTGGCGGTGTGTCATCATCATCGAAATTTGTCTCAAGTAAAGCTTCAGATTTTGATCTGTGATAAGGTTGAGGTGGAGGTGGAACTGGTGGTCTTTGAGGCTCATTTGATGATTCATAAAGTGTCTTCGGTCGACCATATTCGCTCTTTGGAATGATTGATTCTCGTGGCTTAATAGCTTTCATGTAAGAATCTGGTCGTCTGATGTCAGGAGGTGGTGCTATAAATGCATCTGGTCTTCGCACATTCGCTCCTCCATTCCTCTCACGTGGTTTTGGTGGTGTGAATTTAAATGTATCGACTTTTTGGTCGTAAGGTAATGTGCTGGAATTTGATATATTCGAGGGTGGATCTGGACTTTGTGGTGTTAAGAAGCTGCTATGTCCTGAGTTTATTCTTGGTGCTTCATATTCTGGTAATCGATGCTTAAGTTCTGTCAAAAATGACAAATTTTCCCCTTTTGCTCGGATTGGTAATGTGCTGGCATTTCCATAATAATCGGAACCGGAACCATATTCGTCATTATCATTATCAACTTGATGAATTATTGGAGTATCTTCATTGATATTTGTGCTGACTGAATTATTTCTAGTCGTATTTGTGTAAATTGTTGATGTATCCTTAAATCCATCATTCCTGTATGACAACTCAAAGGAACTAATAGCATCAATAGGTGGAGTCGGTGGAACACCGTATTTTACCGAAGGCTTTTGTGCTGTAGGCGGTGAGTAACGCTTTGTTGGCTGTACTGAGTATTCATTATAACGAGTTGGATTTGGATTTGTGTCATAATCTCCATAGCTTGTTTCTGAGCTGAGGACACTCTTGTCCATTGAGTCAATTGATCCATTTGACATCATCTTCTTGTAGTCAGTTCCTGATGTTTTTGAAAGACTCTCGACTGATCGTCCATTCTAGAAAATTGGAATTAATAATTAAGTAATTATATACAGAAATTAAGCACACAGCTACTTACATATCCTCTTCTTCTCATCGATCCTTGTGGATCAATCGTATTAAGACTCCTCAAACTCTGTCGGATGCTGTTTCTCCTCTGCAGTCTCTGATTATGACGAGCTTTTGATTTCGACCACCACATATATCCAATACAACACATCAGGATGAATCCAATTATGAACAAGGAGATGACACTTATGGCAACAATATCAGCTGTGAAATTGAGTGGATTGATGATGATTTTAGGATCAATTTCACAAATAAATGCACTTCTTTTATCGCACTCTTCATATTCGACTGATCTGTAAACGAAGGCTGTACATCTGTCTAGGAAGTCGTAGTCTTGGACCCAAACGTGCTCAGCGTATCTAAAATTTAATGGATATTATTGTTATAGATAGTCAGGGTTGATTAGGCATCAGAGCTAGTTAGAGCATAGATTAAATTGCTGAAAAACTTCAAAAACTTACCTCAAATGCTGCATCTGATGCTGAAGATATAACATTAATTCAGAAGTATCATCTCGAACAAATGGAAGTGATGCATTGTCAGATCGACAAAAGTCTCTTGCTTCGTAGTAAGTCATTGGAGCACCAACATACATGTAGCATGTATCAAATACTAGAGTCCATCCAGGTGGACATTTTCCTCCATCTAAGATTGTCAAGTTGTTCATGTGAAGTGGCAGGTATTGAACTTCTAGGAGTGTTGGATCATCTAGAATTGAATTTATTAAGTTTTAATCTTGAAATTTTATTGATAAAATTAAAAATTTACCAGATCTGTCTTTAATTCTAGAGCTGACAGCCAAGGTTTCATTCCAATTCCAAAAATTATAAGTTGCATCGATCTTAGTCTTGTAGATGTCTCGTGTGCTGTATTTATAAAAAGATTATTATTAATTCATGTCTTAATGTTTCTAATGACTAATAAATACCTATTCCAAAATTGGACTTCAAATCTGATTAGCGATACGATATGATAATAATTTTATTCATGCGGCAAATATTTCATATGATGTTAAATTATTTAAATTTTAATATATCCAAATCGGGGACGATGACATGCAAAAATATAAAATATTCAAATTTAGTTATAAACATACAACATGTTAGCTACTGAATGGGTATATTTTTTAATTATCGAGTCTACAGAATATAACAACTTCCTATATAAAATATTTCAATTCCTTAAAAGGTTTTTAGACTGTCAAAAAATACTCACAGAGATCTGTTGACTGTAATCATCTCATAATCATTGTCAGGATTAAAGAAAATATTATCTAAATAACGTTGTCCAGCTGTTCCAGCAACGACTGTCGTTCTTCCTCTCCAATCAGTAGCAACATTACTATAGAATCCATTATGAGTCGTAGTCTGATAAATTGGCAGTCGAACCTTATCAAATCCAGAAATTTCAATGATTCTTCCACCTCTATTGCTATGGACATAATTGTAGCTGAAGTTTGACACAACTTGACGCAGCACAATAACATCATCGTACCTAAAATTATTAAAATTAATTAGAAATGTCCTATAAATGCCATTTAATGACTTACCCAGCCATATTTTGAGTGAAATAATTTTTATATATGATAAATTCTTGATATGGTGACGCATGCTTGCCTTCAGTATGAAGTGACGGTCGATTTTTATTCTTTGTGAACAAATTATTGTTGATATTCGCTCGCATTGATGTTGCAGTTCCTCTCGAGTCTGATCTCACATAAATTCCACCTTGATTTTCTTGCATCAAATTATTTCTAAAGAACAGTGAATGCATGTTTTGGACATCAATTCTAACAGCAGAATCACATGTTGAAAAGTTTCCATAAAGTTGGACGCAGTTGTTCAAGAATCTGTTTCTTTCAAGAGTTAAAATTGGCGACACTTCACCTGCTGATGTATATGATACAGCTGAGCCTGTTGTCTTTTGGATTTCACAGTTTGAGATGTTGTGCTGTGCGTCTCGACCTAGAAATAATGAATCTATCAAAAGGGTCCTTAAAATCATCAATCGCAAAACTTACTAAATCCAATAGCTGATATAGGAAGTGTCACAACCTCAGCTATAAATCCATGTCTAGCAGGAGCACCACTAGCAATCAATCGAACACTCAATACAGACTCGAAAGTCTTAAACAGCTCACGTTCATTCTCAGAATTAGCTAAGACAGTTCCAATATGTTTTGCAGTTAAATTGTAAATATCACCATCGAATAAATGAATTGAATCAGGACGTCCATACTCCTTTGAGTGGTTAAATAAGTTTGATTGAAGGAGACGAAAGCCAAGTGGCTTAACACTGAATGCACTTTTGAAGATTTTAACGCAATTGACAGGATTATTGTCATATTTGTAATAAACTAGCACTCGTTCCTCAAGTGTGATGACTTTCGAGACATCGCAGATATCAATCATTGAGAAAATATTGTATGGCAGATCCAAATTCTTTAATGGAGTGAAACTTGACTCATCGCTGTCTTGTCCTTCGCCAGTCAATGAAATTGCATTAATTCCTTGACCAAGACTCTTATCGATATTGATTAAATTTAAATGCATTGAGCCACGGGGAGACACAAGATTAATTCCATGATATGCTGAGTCATCGATATTGACAGAACTAATTATTGGAGTTATTGAGATTGCTTGAATTGCTGGAGATTTCTCACCATGCAGCAATCCAGCACGTTCGAGTGTAATAAATTCTAAGAAACTTTCTTTCCTCTTCTTTGCATCAGGCAGTCTATGGTCATGCAATCTTTCCTCATAGCTACTATCTTCAAAATCAGAATTGGCAAATCTAATTCCACCCCAATATGGCTTTGGATCAATATCACCCAAACAGCTCACAAACACAAATGTATCATCCCAATGACATTCATGTCTACGTCCATAAAGCTGTCCATTTAATCTCTCTGGACATAGCTCCATTCGTGATTCATCACCATGACATTCGAAAGGCTCAACCCATGACCATATTCGAGTCAATGAGTTTGTGTGATACTCAATTCGTCGATCGTGACTGAAGTAGATGTTTAATGGATCAAATCCGAGTTCTCGGCATACAACTTGCTAAAATGAGAAGGAGGTTGAGATGGAAATCAGTATAAAGACAGGATTCAACAGCAGCAATCAAGTCAAAAATTCATAAAACTTACCGCATTTCTTTCAGTAAATCTTCTATCGCAAATTGGAACCCACTGCAAAGTTGTGTGATTAAAATACTCCAAGAAACCTTCTCGAACTTCCATATTTTCAGGACCTTCTGTTGTACAGTTCCTGTTTGTGCACAGCCTGACAGAATCTTGAATAACCATATTCTCAATAGACCTTTCAACTCGATTGTATTCTTCAGATGTCTTCATGATTGGTTTCATGGTGATTCTCGACACTTTTCCACCTCTTGCATTTAAAGTACCAAGCACAAGGATACCAACATTGGGTGCGAACTCCATTTCAACACCTCCACCGATGTTTAGTGTCACATCTGGCATGATTGTTAAATCTCTTTTTATAACATATGGAACTTCTCTTTTATATAATGTTAAGTCTTGATATAAACGACCTCCAAGATTATCAATATCAGGTATATGATTTTCAGCATAGGAAGCAGACAATGACCCATAAACATCATTATCTATTAAGAATGGCTTCCAAATTGCCTCAGCATGATTATTCCAATCATCAAAGTCGAATATTCTCTGATCAATGTATTTTGGATCACGAGAGCCCCACCAGTTCTCAGTTGCTTCAAGGAAATTGCCAAGTCGTGCTGATTTAACACCAGCAACGAGATCATAATCTTGCTGATTTCCACTAATTAAGTTCCTGTAAATTTGAACTTTTTGAACACCACCGAATCCAATGACGCATGATGGATCGATTGGATTAGTTCGTGTACCTCTGAAAAATGAGCGACCACCTGGAGTTAATTTTTTCTCTTCATTCTTATTGTCTCTAAGCTCATTGTATCTAAAGACTGCAAATACCTCACCAAGAATCTCACTCTGTGAATCAGAATTAAATTCAATCATGTAACGTCCAAGATTTTGTGAGATTTTATTTTCCTCAATTTTTAATTTCTTTTCCATTCCACGAAATGCAATTAAGCCATTTTGGCAGTGATTGTCAATGAATTTATTTCCAGTTATATTAATCTCAGCAAAGTGACCATCAATGACGATACCAAACTTATCATTTCGACTCCACGTGTTGTTTCCAAAGAACACTGAATGAGTGAAATTTTCATTATATTGCCAGACATAAGGCAATGTTATCTCCATTCCACCTGCTGTATTCCTCTCAACTGATGTATCTTGAAGGACATAATGGAAGAGATTGTTTGATGATCGCAAATCTTTTGAGAATTGTCTAATTCCTCGTCCATTATCAGCAATTAATGATCGATTAATGTGAAGTGTAATTTCAGAGATGTTGCTGACATGAACATCCCAAAATGGTGCATGAATGAAGACAGCTTCTTCCTTATTGTAGCTAATTTCACATGATCTCATCAACATTGACTCATTTGCTTTTCGGAGGAAGTGCTCGCCTTTCTCACCAAGGAATCTATTGTAGTAAGTCGCTGTAAGTCCACGATAATTGTTCTGGATCTTTGTTGAAGTCATTAGCAATGTTGGAACTGGACCACGTACAATTCTATTGTAAATTGTCTGAGCTGGAGCTGGATTAGAACTTAATGTCAATACAGCACCACCGAGAGCACTGTCTCCACTTTTATATTTTAAAACTATTCCATAGCTTGTCGTAGTCAATGGAAAGACTGATAAATCCCTTTTAACCTGAAATACGTCACTTTTTAAATTTCCAGTGTGGGAATCATAAATCCAAATCTCCTCAGTTGATCGATTCTCAATTGGATTAAGAAGTTGAATGCCAATAACGTAGCCAGGCTGACAACGAATTTTTATTGTCTGTTCTTCATCTTCCCCAATGACTCGTTTTGTGACTAAATATTTCATTTTAAATTGATCGATGTCAATGAATTCAGTTTTGCTGGGAATTTCAGTAAGTGGATATTCAAATTCTGTGGCAATAAAGTCTGGTGCTAATTTAAACCATCCAGCAAGTTCTCGTTGTTCATAAGCACCAAAAACTGGATCATGACTTACGCCTGCACCTCGATTATTTTTGATAATACTTCCGTGAACTTGTAAGCCGAGTTGCTTTAAGCTGATGCCATTGCCATAGTTATTTGAGAATTCAGAGTTTCTAACATTATTAATGGAATTACCGCCAAATATGTCTGAATAAATTACACCAAGTCCATCATGCAGATTCTCAACGACTCGAATATTCTCAAAATTATGTCTCGCAAAGTCCATTTGAATGGCAGGCTTAAACATATTTGTGGCATAATCAACAAGTCCAGCTTTCTTGACTGTCACATACTGAATATCAGCACGATCAGCTAAAACACCAAATCTTATACCAGCCCATGCGCCTTCATAGCACCTAACACCAACATCCATTTCGTGCGTACAGGAATTCTCAAATTCATTTTTCTTCTCATATCGACACTTTGTGATGTCTGTGTCATGTTCTGTACAGCGGATATTCGAGAGTAGAATTTCTTCGTGAGATCCAGCACCAGGAATTTCATTCCTTTCAAGTCTCCAGTCATTTGGATTCAATGCTAAGCCAAGTTGGTGACAAACGAGAGCAGCATTGATAATATTCCAGTTATAGTCACAAACAGTTCCCCATTGTCCATCAATTTGAATTTGCAGACGTCCTTCATGTTCTGATTTTCCACCAAGAAGTCGAATTGGAACTGAAGGTGCTGAATTATTTGGAACATTTGCTTCCGTTTCTGTTTCAAGTTCTCCTTCATTTGTCAATACTTCGGTTGTGTCATTAATCATGACTGGCTCTCTTTTGAGTGTAAACATGATGTCATCTGGGACAGTTCCTCGAGCCTCCAATTTACCAGCAACCATCATGCCAACACTTGGTGAGAAATTCAAGATTGTTCCACGTTGTAAAATAAGTTTCCCGCCTGGTCGGATGTTGATGTCCTTTTCAACGTCATAAGTTCCACTTGGAAGTATCTCCTGTCCATCTACTTCCCCTCCGATTTTATTTGAATTTTCATTGTAGAATCGTGGAATATAAGTTGGGAATTGATTAATGAGTGTCGTGCCTGGATTTGAATGATGTAATAAATATGGCAAATATTCAATTTTAGCCAAATCATATCGATCTTTTCTATGAAACAGCCTTTCAAATACAACATCTTCGTCTTTCGATCCCAGCCAATTATAAGTCACGTTTAATATTTGACTTTGATCCGAGACTTGAGAACCAACTTCATATTTTGAATCACGATTATAAATTACATTTCTATAGATGTCTACATTACTCGATGATATAACAACTGGTGCAGCTACACGCGATCGTGGATTTAATCGACCCTCGCCATTTATTCCTTCATTGACTGTTGGCTGCGATTCACTATCAAAATGACCGAATGGCTCTTGAATTTTATTGTTCTGGACGAAATTTCGTGTGAATAGGATTGAATGGATTTCTCTGTCTGTATAAGAATTCAAGCCAAGTGATGCTGCGTAAACTCCTTTATTACGAAGGAAGTAATTGTGCTGCACTAAGAATTTAGCTGGTAAAGTTCTAAAAAGATCATAAAATTCAACATATTGATCGTTCCTAATAAGTATGGCACCATATTGACCAAAATAGAAATGATTGTGCTCAATAATGCCATCAATATTTAATGCTGGACTTATTATGATTCCAATCTTCTTCATATGCTGAAATTCATTATGTCCAATCAATAATTTCAACTTCTTTCCATCCTGCTTGTCAAACCAGCACGTCTGTATGTCAATTCCATTCGAAAAACTTTCATTGAAGAAATTTCCAGTCACATTTACATAAAAGTCTCCACAATAATTGCCATGCAGGATGCCAACCTCAAGATTTCCAACAATTTTTGAATACTCAATTATTGTCGTCTGATTAATCGGCAGATATTCAGCTCTCTCCTTTGTGGTTTGATTGAGCCACACAGCAAATCCAAATCCTTCATTCCGACTCAATGAGCTTCTCGATACATTCTTATGTCCACCATAATACGTAACATTAACTCCATCGCCATGATTGAAAATGATTCGACTACTTGTGACGTTGACATCTCCAGCACCGCTTGTTACATGCACACCAGCGACATGATTGTTATTGCTTACTTCACTGTGATGAACATGCAACATTGAGCGCAAATTATCGACAGCAACACCGCGTCCTCCATTGTCAGTAACAAAACTGTTTGTGACATTAAGGTCGTATGCTTTAAATGGACCAGCTGTTACTCGAATAAATGCTAAGACTTGACTTCTCGGATGTGCTTTAAATCTCACGAAAACTGTTTCCTTTGTACTGACAACGCTCTGCACTCGAGTGTAGTTCCTAACAGACCAATTAATTAATAGACGATCATGCTCATTATGTCCATCAGTTACAAGAATCTCAGCTGTGTCATTATTCTTAACGACAAAATTAACAAAATGCACAGTTAATACATAACCCGGCTGTGTTGTAAACATTTGACTGCACTGCTTTCCCGATGACGCAAATTCACTTTGTTCCACTTGCAATTCAACTGGATATGTTTGACCTGCAGTTATGGCAAGAGTACAAAATTCTCGAACATCACTGCGGTCCGTTCGTTCATCGAATCTGAGATCATGACCAACATAACGAATACCGTCAGCACCGTTTTCAACAATATTTGAGTTCTCGATCATTGCTGAGCCATAACTGGAATTGACAAAAACACCAAATCCACGACTACGACGAACTGTAACTTCATTAAAATGAAATGATGATTGTGATCTTGTAATATTAATTCCAGTAAATGCAGAAAAATCAATATTGACATGACTAAGAATCGGTGGCACTCCAATTGACTCAATTGCTGCTGTAACAATTCGATTTCTTCCGGCTCCAGCACGAATTATATTAACATGTCTCAATTCTGATTGCGAGACATGATCATAGATTGTATTTCCATTTGATAATGCACGAGTTGATTCAGCATTTACGAATCGTAAACCACGCCAATGTGTTGATGCTGATTCAAGAAGTGGAAGACATTGCATGCCAAGATCATTGTGATAGTCGCAGACACCTGAGCCTAGTTGATGACGATCCCATTGGCATTCGAAAATTGAATGTTCAGTTCCTCCACATTCTGGTTCTTCAAGTGAGAGTCTGGGTTGGAAGTTTTGAAGTCTTTCGACCCAATTCCAGAATCGACCACCTTGGAAGCCCATTTGACGACATACTGTCTCATAGTCTGGGATTGTCCAGCTAGATTGAAGAGAAATTTTGATTAGTTTTGAGTAAAAATGCAAGCATTAAGCTTAATCTGACTTACTTTCTAGAATTACTGCACACTGATCGCCACTTTCCATTAACCATCAATTGAAGTCTACCTTCAAGTGGAGATGGACCATCTACCAGTCTTGCTTTTAAGTCTTCTGGTGTTTTTGGTGCACTATCTGGGAATCCAGTGTTTTGCTGAGATGTGAAGGTGATGGCATGTTCTGATTGACCCTACAAATAAATTATAAAAATAAATTTTATGCTTTTTAAGTGTGAAATTTTTAATTCCATTAATTATTATGAAATTGGTCTTCTAAAAATGCTTTCACTATAATTAATTTTTTAAGCAAATTTATAACTTAATTTCTGCTCATACCCATCGCGCATATCAAATCTACTGCAAATGAGCAATAAAGCAATTAAAACAAAAGTTATTTTCTAGTACGATGAATGCCAGATGAATGAAACTTAAGTAAGATCGTGTAAATTCAATTATAAATTCTTATTTTTTCCACTAAGCTTATTATTAATGAAAAGAGAAGCAAATTCCGTTTAATTGTAAGTTGACATGACATTACAATGCTAGTATGGAAATTACAGTAATAGTTTATGATTCTTGAAGACGCAGTTTTGTCTGAATAAAGGAATGCGAATTTAATTGAAGGTGGAAAATTTGTAGGGAATTTTTCTAATTTGTTGGTCTTTCATAATTATTAATTTAAGAATGAAGTCATATTCTCATTAAAGTAGATAGTCCTCGTTTTTGGATCATCCACCCAAAGTTTTGGGATTGAACCCAAATTTTACAACACCAGTATAATCCCTAAAGGGGTCGTTTACTTATGACGTCCGACATTTAGGGGGGGGGGGGGGGGGGGGGGGGTGGTCTAGGATTTTGTGACAGTTCAAACAATGGAAATTTTTTTCCATAGAGTTTTTGTGACAGACGGGGGGAGGGGGTCTAAAAATTTGGTTTTTCGATGGACGTCATAAGTGAACGACCCCAAAATCGGATTAGGATTATCCACTTTAGTGAAAACGGACTATTGTGTCAGGTGAGTTTAAGGCAGGGGCGGAAGTCTCTCTTGGGTTTAGAACATTGCTTGTTTATTTATGACATCCAAGGGTCAGCAATAAAAGAACAATAGAAACTCCTGAAAATCCATTGTCCTGATTTGTAAAATGACCGTTAACTTCGGATGTCATAAGTAAACGCCCCTTAGTTTGCTAGGTGTTTCAAAGTTTAGACTAAAAGCTAATCCTACATTGGTTTCCAAACGATTCAACTCTTTAATAGCTTTGATTTCAACTGAATGAATCCTAAATATGTATAATTGTCTCCTTCGTATCCTGTACCTCAGCAGTCAACGATAAAATGACATTCAAAACAGCCACTTGAGCCATTAAAAACCTCTCAAGTCTCATCCCGAAAAGAAAACATTTAAAACATTCTTAAAAAGTGAAGCAATTAATTAATTAAAACAAGTTTCTTAGAATTGCATAAAACAGCGTCAAGAGTCAATGTTTGCGTAATGTCGTCGTCGTTAATTATGGTCATACATAGACGTATTCAGAACAATGGAGATTACTTTAATCTTACTGCCTAATTAAATTCAGAGAAATGTTTAGCATTCATAATTGAAGTCAACACGTGCTATGTTTATATTTCTATAGATATTATTACATAATCGGCATCAAGTTAGATGTTTTGATAAAAGTCATGGCTGTGTCAGGTATAAATTATCATGGAATAATTTAAAATTTTGCAGTTGATAATAAAAATTCGATATAAAATGAAATCATTTGGCATAGTACTGAGTATAATCAGCATAATCTGTGTAATAGGCAGTTGTTACGGTAAAAATAATCGCTATAGTAAATCATGCTTCGTGAGATATCTACTGAAAACCAATCAGATTGATGCAAAATATAAGAAATTCATCAACGATGCCGAAGTCTCTCCAAATGATTGTGAAATGGCAGTTAACTTAACTCTCGATGCTATTCGAACAGCATCAAAAGAACCGTGCATTGCTAGCTTTCTTAAGAAAAAAGATGTTGCGGAAGTTTTATTGAGGAAATTTTTAATGCCACAGCTGGACAATGGAGACAAGCAAGTTGTAATATTTGACGATCAATTCACAGAATTCAGGAGAAAAATTGTCGATATTTCATCAGTCGTCTGCAATAATCCAAAAATCTTCAGACCAGACGTCGCTAAACTCATGCGTGAAGCAAAATCCCACAAAGAATCCAAGGCACGTGAGCTTAAATGCCTCGAAATTTACATTAAAAAGCCAGCAAATCAAATTCTCACCGATGAGTGTAAGAAAGTCGTCGATTACGTAAGAAAAGACTTTTATGGGAAAATGGATAGCGACATGAAGACATCATTTGCAGCACCAAACGATCAGCTGTTGAAAATGGAATGTGTCAAGGAGAAAGCAGAACAATTTAAAATGTTTGAACGAGTTTTCTTCTTTGTTGTGCTGTCAACATCTCGAGACATGAATGACAAGCAGATAAATGCAGTCGCAAAAAATGCTGACATTGCTATAAATAGTTCTCAGAAGGTTATATTTGAGTGTATGGTTTAATTTATGTTTGTTTGGAAGGATTCGAGGATTAGACACTGCTTAAAATTGTAATAGTATTATTAAGGCAGAACTGTGGGATATGGAAGGCAGTAGAGTTGTTATCAAGTAGCTTATTACATATAACTTGGTTAAAACTATCGTCAAAATGGTCTTAAGCATATGAAAAGGTTTTAAAATTAGGCTTGCTCATTTTTAAAATCTAGTACATTTTTGAATCTAGTACCTTTTGAGCCTATTACATTTTTAAACCTTGATCATTTTTTGAAGCTAGTACATTTTTTGAATCTAGTACCTTTTTAAACCAAGCCCATTTTTGAAGCTAGTACTTTTTTGAACCTTGTACATTTTTTGAAACTAGTACATATTTTTGAATCTAGTACATTTTGAATCCAGTACTTTTTGAAGCTAGTACATTTTTCGAAGCTGGTGCACTTTTTTTGGATCAAGTACCTTTTGGGCCTAATACATTTTTGAATCTAGTACATTTTTTGAATCTAGTACATTTTTCGAAGCGGGTACACTTTTTTGGATCAAATACCTTTTGAACCTAGTACATTTTTGAATCTAGTGCATTTTTGAGTCCAGTACTTTTATTGAAGCTAGTACATTTTTTGAAGCTAATGCATTTTTTAAAAAAATCTAGTTCATTTTTTAAACCAAGTGCATTTTTTGAATCTAGTACATTTTTTGAACCTTGTACATTTTTTGACCAAAGTGCATTTTTTGAAGCTAATACATTTTTGAACCTTGATCATTTTTTGAAGCTAGTACATTTTTTAACCCTTGATCATTTTTGAAGCTAGTACATTTTTTTAACCTTGATCATTTTTTGAAGCTAGTAAATTTTTGGGCCTAGTACATTTTTGAAGCTAGTATATTTTTGAAGCTAGTACATTTTTGAACCTTAATCATTTTTTGAAGCTAGTACATTTTTTGAAGCTAGTTCATTTTTTGAAGCTAGTACATTTTTGAACCTTGATCATTTTTTGAAGCTAGTACATTTTTTGAAGCTAGTTCATTTTTTGAAGCTAGTACATTTTTTGAACCTTGATCATTTTTTGAAGATAGTACATTTTTGAAGCTAGTACATTTTTGAACCTTAATCATTTTTTGAAGCTAGTACATTTTTTGAAGCTAGTTCATTTTTTGAAGCTAGTACATTTTTTGAACCTTGATCATTTTTTGAAGATAGTACATTTTTGAAGCTAGTACATTTTTGAACCTTAATCATTTTTTGAAGCTAGTACATTTTTTGAAGCTAGTTCATTTTTTGAAGCTAGTACATTTTTGAACCTTGATCATTTTTTGAAGCTAGTACATTTTGAACCTTGTACATTTTTGAAACAAGTCTACCCAATTTTGCTATAAAAATCTACACTTAGTTTCTTCAGTCTGTCTAAGCCTTGCCGAATTCCACGCATAAATTATATCAAGTTCAACGAACTTTTTGTACAATATTAAAATTTTTCTATTAAACCTATTTATTACTTAATTGCGTACACACAGAAATAAACGTATCAAATTATTGTTATTAGATTTCACGTGACGATAGATTTTTTTTTTCACTACTTTATTAAGTCTCGCATGAGAATCAAATCTAGTGCCATTAAACTGTATAAAAAAAAATAAAATAAAAATAAAAAAAAGTCTCATTTTTCAATGAATGTTCTAATGAGCAAACATTTACGTGTACAGACAGTTTTTTGCTGCATGTAAAATTCTAAACGTCCATCAAGCATGAAATGTCTTCTTATTTTCCTTGTGTACCTGCGTGTAATTACTCGTATTTGGCTGTATTTGTCGTTGGCGTGTCTGCAATGGCACAAAAAACAGCTGATCCGAATGAAAATACGTCAACGTCATTAGTCAAACACACAAAGGTAATAAATCAATGGAATATGCTTTTTTTTTGGAAGTCATTTCCAGCCACACATTGTTCTAGCTCATTGAATTGATTTTTCTTTGCGGTTGTTTAACAATAAACAAAGGAGAAAAGTCGGTGAATGGAAAGGGGGCTGGTTGTAAATGATGTCTGTTATTTGTAAGCTTCTTAATCTGATCTAGCTGAAAATTTGTATTTTTTGCAAAAGTGCGGAACTAATGAATTAAATTTTGATCATTTTTGATCAATTTTGATTTTTTTTTGAAAATTTTTTGATCATTTCCTCAGTTCCGAACCCTTGATTCTTAATGTGTGTTAAGCTACTCATGAATAGGCTGTCCAACTGCTCACTTTTGATAATCCCGACACTTTTTCTCGAATGGCACAAGTTGGTTAATTAATCAGAAATCCGCAACTAAGCTAGTATGACTTTGTCATGGTGCTGGATTAAAATCGAAGTCAGCACCATGCCAGAGTCATACCACCTTGTTGCCGGATTTCTATTCGATTAACCGACTTGAGCTATTCAGGTTTTAAACAAAGTCCCGCCAAAAACTAGCTTTTTCAGAGCTGTAATTAGGTCATGTCCCGCTTTTTGACCACAAATCAGCAAAACTGTTGGACATGAACTCCCCCTACAATATTGTGACGTCACCAGGCGCGTAGCCAGGAGGGTATTGCCCCCCTCTTAAGCGTTTTAGACCGTGCTTTCGTTGCGGTTCAAAATGAAGGGGGGGGGGGGTGCAAGAGTCTCCTTACAATATTTTGACGTCACTTATCATCAACCCCAAACGAAAATTGTTGAAAAACGGAAATCTTTGTTAATTTGCGTGTTGATTTGAATTTTTTGACTAATTTTCTTTATTCTCGGTCCGTAAAGCTATGAAATGTCTTATTAATATTACAATGAATAGAAACCAAATCAAATTTTTCATGAATTGAATGTAATTTAACTGTACATTTCTCTTTTATTGATTCTGTCAAGTGAAACATTTTCTCTGTGTGACTATTGATATTGTTATTGGATCTTATAAGAAGACTATTGACATTTTAATGCACTTATTGTATGAAAATTTGTTCTACATAAACTAATGAGGTTGAGGAAGATTAATACTTGATGGTTTGTGGTTTTGTGGCTTGTGGTGGAGCGCATTTTATGACCTGATTGTTTTGTTTAATTGTCATTTGAATTTAATGGAATGGGGAATTGAAAGATTGGTTGTTTGAAAATGAGATAAATTATTAAAACATTGGCATTTTTTGAGACTTCGTTCATATTTAAATTATTGAGTAATTATTCAATAAATTCAAAAAGCAAATCCGTGGGTTCAAGTCCCAGACTTTAATAATGAAAAGTTTTAAATGTAAGTATTACTTTTTTGCTAAAATCCTGCTGTTTTTAACATGGGGCCGTTCACTTATGACGTCCAGGGGGTGGGAGGGGGGGGGGGGGGGGGGGGGGTCAGCAAGAAAAGAAAAATCTTATATTTAAAACATAAGCAAGAGTTTAGCAGGATGGACGTGGATAAAGACAAACTGCTTAAAATTCCCCCGACTATTCAAATTGCTCCATTAAAATCAACTCCAAAGAGAAAAGGTCAAACATACAAAGAATACACATCTACTATTAATTCAATTAATGGATCTTTAGTTGTTATTTTTTTCGAGCAGTCGCTTGAGGCACTTTTGAAGCATTTTGGTGCTTAACGTCGTGTAAAATTTTTTACAATCATTTCATTCATTTTAGATGAGAAAGAAAAAAGATTTTAGATGGAAATTTTAACAGTAAAATAAATGAGATAAAATCTATTTAAGTATCACTTTCACGAGCTGAAGCATTCTACAATGTTTTGACTGACGGTAATTAATTTTCTATCATAAATGTACAGGAAGAATTTTTCAGTTTTTAATAAAATCTCATTTTTTTCTTGAATTTCAATTTTCTGGTCACGATTTTCTCATTTTATTCTTAATCGATCTTATTTTCTTAGCCAGTGATGGCCAACCCGTGTTTTGTGGAACAAAAGTGTGCTAAAAGATGTTCAAGAAACCTTATGCCATGTCCGGTTTAGGTTATGATATCCCTTTAAGGTGTGCCGTAGCATTAAAAAGGTAGTCCACAACTTTTCTAAACTATGCATCAGGGGCGTAGCCAGGAATTTGAAGAGGGGGGGACAAAAATTTTTTTGTATGGAAAAATTTAAGGGGGGGGATTTTTGTGATTTTTTCATAAAAACCCTAGCAAAATAAAGGAATTTCTGTTTACGTTGGGGGATTTGTCCCCCATATACCCTCCCACTGGCTACATGCCTGCTATGCTTAGATGTAAAATAATCATGACTGAGAATCTCAACAATGGAATTTAATCCAAGTCAGATTCGTGTCATTGTCACAATTTCTTCTTAAGGGATTATTCAGAAGTGACGTCGGCAAGGGTGTAGCTAGGAGATTCTGGAGCCTTTATAAAGATATTGAAATGTGCGGGGGGAGGGGGTCCAAACCTTCCTTCATGTAAATGTTGAACCTTGCTATTGCTGCGGTTTAAAACTTTTAGGGGTTTGGGGTTCAGACCCTCCTTGACGTCATTTAGAGAACTAGTTTTTAAAACCCTAATTTGAACCTTTACCAAAGTATTATTTCATACAACCTCGAAATTGGGGATACTTCTTCAAAATACATCACATCATTTCTTAACCAATTCCATCCACAGATGAGAAATCTCTAAATGATCATGATCATGATGACTCATGATTTATGAGCACTACAATTTTTATTTTTACTATGAGCTTGCTTTGAGCTGAATGTGTGTGAATTCGTTGTGTTTATAATTTCTATGGTCGCTGCATAATAATGACTATTTTTACGTAACTACAAAGTAAGTAACGAGTGCGAGTGTTTCAGTTTTTCTATGTCAAAGCGAAATTGTTCATTCACTTTTCAATCGTTTGTAATAATAATAATGAGGAGATGATGTTGGGGGTGTGCCAGGTGATAAGTTGCTGAAGTGAAGCTCAGGCTATGGTTTACTCATTGTTATGCTTGACTTTTCGGACACTTGATTCATTTTCTGAAGCTGAATCTCTTAAAACCCATTGGCGCACACCCCACAGCCAACATTGTGTCTATGAATAAACATTTATTGTCAATAAACACACTTAAAATTCAGCTT